ATGCTGCAGGGAACTGCATACCTCGGAGTGTCCATAGGTATCATAGCAAGCTGATCCTGACAGAAATCTGCATGGAAAATCTCCCTTGTTCTTCCTTGTGTCTCCTTTTTCACACTTTGCAGGATGACATTCCTGCTGGTGAGCATGAAAGTTGTTTCTCCAGTGAGCCAATACAAACATGAACTGGGAAAGAGAAAAAAAAAACCCAAAGCGTTCAGGGAAAGGCGGTGATTTCTGACAGGTTGTTATTTGGCCATTTCTGTGCAGTCAGTATCCTGTACAAGGGAACCTGGATAAACCTAGGAGAGAGAAAGCAAGCCAAGACTCTGAAACTAACTGAGCTAGAGACACAGAGTGCCGTTCCCTTCATTTTCTCCTTATTCATATTTTATTCTGTCATGACTTTGTCTACTGAGCATTTGCTGTGCACTAATATCATGACAGGGGAATCGAATTTATGAGAGTCCTTTCTTCACATAAATGTGCAGGTTGGGGTGAGGGGGGAACCAAACTGTATGGCTTTGAGTGGAAAGTTGAGTGAGGAAAAATGGACTGGCAGTTGGGATGAGCTGCAACAGTCATCTGCTTGAGAAGAGAGAGAAAAATCACTTTTCAGAGGCTACGCTGGTTTCTGATTTGTACAGACCATGGCCCTGCATCTCTAATCTGCTGTGTTCTCTCTTGGTAGGCATCACAGTTAAAAAGGAAGTTGCCAGTGCCTTTGTGAAGAGGCAGAAGAGATTCGACATGTATGAATGGTAAAATCACGTGAGCCAGGATGAGAACCAGGATGAGACTCCAGATGACTTTTTGGAAGAGAGGGTGGGATGTGGCAAAGCAATTCTTTGCTGTACATCTAAATATCATACCTAGAATTAAAAAGGCAGTAAGAACCTGCCATTGATAGATCAATTGTTCTTTTTTCCACAAATGCTCCTTCAGGAGTTCATTGCTGATCTTTGTTATGCCCTCCCATGGAGAAAGACAGCACTAGCTGGGGTCAGCAGGGTACAAGTTAGAAGCTGCACAAACCTGTGGAAACATTAGATCCAAATTCCAGCATAGTGAGTATCACAGATCCCTGACCATTGCCTCAACCTCCATACAAAGGAGCTACAGCCCAGTTGCAGTGCAGTGGTGAGGCTAAATCTAAACCTGCACCCATTTGTGCATTATATCCATTTGTTTGAGGGTGGTGAGGGTCTGGAACAGATTTCCCAGAGAAGACATGGATGCCCCATTCCTGGAGGTGTACAAGGCCAGCTTGGATGGGGCTCAGGCAGACTGATATGGTGGGTGGCAGCCCTGCCTGAGGCACAGGGGTTAGAGCTCAACAATCTTAAGGTCCCTTCCAACCTAAGCCATTCTACAATCTAGGCAGAGAGATTTGGAGAAATCCTAGATAAAAACATTTGGAGAAATTTAAGCAAGAATGCTCTTCATATATTTTCTAGAAGGCATTGTTAAGCCGCAGTCTCATGTAGGCCTGTGTCAAGAATAATTATTATTCAATACGTCTTTGGATTGGAAGGGTGATGGTTTTGTTTGGATGACAGAAAACAGGGAGTTCCCATCTACAGAGAAGAAGATCATAGTGGGGTAGCAGAGGTCACTCTGCTTGAAACCTGGAATGATTAAAAACAAAATGAAATTCAGATGAGAAACTGTACTGACTGCCTCCGTACAGGTGGGTCACCATAAAAGTAGTTTCTGCAACAAAAATAAATGAGGAAGGACTTAGGTAGAGAGAGCTTGCTGTATTATTCAATCACAAGGTAAGGTTAGTCTGGAAATACAGATGCAACAAATAGAACTCAAGGGTGCTGCAGGGAATTTCCAATACAGAAATAAAGTAATAGCTTGTGACACTTTCAAGCCTTTTTCTGTAGCAGTGTGTGCAGGAAAGATTAAGTGAGTCTGCAACAGGAGATGAGGAGGGGATCCAGTGTGTGTAGCTGAGGCTAAAAGATCTGGGTGTGCTCAGCATGGCAAAACAAAGCTGTGAAAAGGAAAGGATTGCTGTCTACAGCAGAAGTGAGGGTGATGAGAGGAAACCATGAAAACTGAAGGGGAACAGGAAAATGAGCAGAAACTGAGCACAGATTAAGATAAGCAAGAAATACTAAAAATAAAATAATTATAAAATAAATAATATATGTATATTTTAAAAGACTGCCACATAGCTGGGGTTGGGGACAAAGACAAAACAAAACAAAAAAACAACCCAACAAATCAAGCAAAAAACTAACTCTACAGAAATCATATGTACTTCTGTGGTCTCCTTTGCTGGTGAAACTTCAAAGACAGTTGATTCAACTGGGTTCAGTTCCAACTTCTCCCAGCACTGACAAGGAGATCTATCCCCATGTAGGCAGATATTTAACCCGCCGTGAGATGTCCCCTGCAGGAGCACTCTGGGGAGTCACTCCTCTCAATGTTTGAGTGTGAAACCTCTCCAACCCCACTGACTGAATGTGCAGAACAGCATTTTTCTCTTTGTTCACTCCAGGTATTCCGAGTATTACAAAAGCCCAATGGAGCAGATGCGTGAGCGCTGTGAAAGCTACCCTCCCTGTGACTATCTGTCTGACCAAATAGGATTTCCCATGGCCTACAACCGTTTCTTTGGGAGATACTAAGGCTGGGATTATTATTTTGATCATCTGACCATTCCGAAAACCCCCAGCAGAAAGAATCTGGTGGATAAGAAGAAGGGAAGAAGAACATCTACACCAAGACCATCTTCCACTGTCTCCCTCACCAGCTGAAACACAAAGGCTATTCCACTTGTCTGGATTGCATCAGCTTTCTTGCTCTCATCAAAAATGTTGATTTTCTGTTATCTTCAGTGGTATTTTCAGTGCCACCAGGAATGGTTGAGAAGACTCTGTGTTACCTGCTTCCTTTGTAAATACTATTACATAGCTAGAAATCATGTCCCAGTATACTCTTCTTATTATTCTACCACAAAATTTGCCTGTATAATATCAACATTTAAATCCCCAGAAGTGTGTTTGAAGACCTTTTAGACGAGCCCTTCCATCTGTGTGCTTTCAGTTCACATTCAGTGACTGTGAAAAATGAATTGGAAATCTCTTATTGTTTTTATTACAATTGATTTCTGGTGAAACTGAACAAAAAAAGTCAATCTTTCCCTGATGCTTTAGCTTTTGTGCTTGAAATTAAACAGTCAGATTTTCTCCCCAAAACAAACAAAAATAAAGCGATGAACTTTATGAAATAAAAATAAAGCTGTTCAGTAGTGGATTGAAGATAGGACAGCATTTTTTTCATTCAGGGTGACTTGCCTTTTTATTAATAGATATATATATAATACATACACACATATCTTCTTCCCTCTGCACTACTTCATTCTGTCTCCCTGTATGAACCTTATGCATGAGCAACTTTCAGCAGTCTCCCTTGACACAGTCTATCAAAATGTATCCCTGAGAGGTAGACGGCAAATCTGTCTCCAACAGTAGACTCTGCTGGGCCTCAAGGAACTGAGAAACACCAAATCTCTTTTTCGTGTAAGCTGGTGCAGCCATTCCCATATGCTGATAGCAATAAATACTTATTGTGTAATATAGTTGGTGTGCTGCTTTTCTTTATTCCTCTGTACAGCCTGTTTCTGCTGTTAAGGAGATGTCTGGAAGGTAGAGCGGGATCCAGACTGATGAGATTTTCTTCCCCCCTCTTCTGCTCCATTGCAAATCAGAAATCATAGAATCATAGAATCACAGAATTGTTTGAGTTGGAAGAGACCCTTAGAGGCCATCTGGTCCAACTCCCCTGCAATGAACAGAGATGCCTACAGCTTGATCAGGGTGTTCAGAGCCACTCCAGCCTGACCTTGGGTATCTCCATGGACGGGCATCCACGACCTCTCTGGGCAACTTGTGCCAGTGCCTCACTAAATGACTACATCAAGATTCAGGAAATGACTATTATATGCCATTAGAGTGGTGGTGAGGATAGCTAGATTTTTAATGATTTGCTGCCTACTGAATTCAGCATTTCTCTGGAAGACTCTACACTGAAGTAAGGATATGAGATAAGTCTACACAGATGGCTGCTGGGTGTGCAGCCCTTCTTTGGCAAGCTGTTATGGCTTGCTCTGGATATACTGACCTTGGCCAAGGAGAAAATGTTAAGTAGCTCTGCTTGTCTTGGTCAAATATCTGAGTGGTTCCTCTATTGGTATAAAGTGATGCTCACAGAAAAACTCGTCTTTGAAAGCCATCTAGTAAAATGAACAACTTTCTCATAGAAAGCAGTGAAAATGTTGCCAGGAAAATAGCAAAGAGATTAGTGAGCTCTCAGTGTCTGCTGCCTGAATGTGAGGGTTTGTTGTTTTTCCTTCCTTCCTTCCTTCCTTCCTTCCTTCCTTCCTTCCTTCCTTCCTTCCTTCCTTCCTTCCTTCCTTCCTTCCTTCCTTCCTTCCTTCCTTCCTTCCTTCCTTCCTTCCTTCCTTCCTTCCTTCCTTCCTTCCTTCCTTCCTTCCTTCCTTCCTTCCTTCCTTCCTTCCTTCCTTCCTTCCTTCCTTCCTTCCTTCCTTCCTTCCTTCCTTCCTTCCTTCCTTTTCTCTGTGAATGTTTATATATTTCTGTTAGTTTTATATTTGTCTCCTCCTTTTGATAAATATTTCTTTTCTGGGAAGGTGAACATTAAGGCCTTGATCTTGCGATCTGCACTGTGTCGCCAGACCTTTATATGGCCTTTGGAGAGCTGAGCGCACAAATCAGATCACAAATGCAATGCTGGACTGCAGCAGCTCGATTTTCACCTGCTCAAGGTACTCTTCAATACATTACTCATCCTCTGCTGCCATCGTATGGCCATTGCATTTATCGCCATGGCTGTACATGCCCACCTCAAAACCTCTCTGACCAACTTATTATTAATAGGCGATGAGAAGTAGGCTTCGATTATCTGTGTCACAGTCAGGACGAAACTCTGGTCATCTTTACTCTTTTTTTTTGTTGCTGTTTTAACAGAAATATTGCCGGAGGTCATGGGTCTTTGCACGTGAGTAACTCATTGCCCTTTAATTGGAAGGGTGACTGCAAAGCAGCTAGCAGGGAGAGATTGTTCTCGATGTGGAATCTGCATTTATGCATTCATTCTGAGTGCAACCATGTAATCAGGTCAACAAGATGACACTCTGCAGTGGTGTAGGTGGAAGATTGGCAGCACGCTATTAGGAACTGGGAGAAGCTAAAGAGGAGAGACACATTTATGTTATCTCTGCCTCCAGATGGGATCCCAACCTACTGTGCATTTCTGGGTAGTCTTTATCAGAGCTCTGCACATCACGAAAATGACTTTTAAAACTCTCAGCCAGAGAGTACTCTCCACCCCAACTTGACTTATACTTCTCAGGAGATAACTGTCTTAGACCTCTCCAAGTCAGTTTTCTTCTTTTTGCAAGAGTAAGAGTGCAACATACCTTGGAATAAAGAGAATTATCAAGGCAAAGTGCAGCTGCACTGGCTGAAGTTGGAGTGAAGAAACAACTCATAAAGTCTCAGTGCATCCAGACCCTTGTTTGTGGATTGTGTACGCACTTCTACCAGTAAGCTGACTGTTGGGCTTGATCAGGGACATCTGAATTGCTTGAAGACTCCAGTGGGTGATCTTTGGTTGAAGAACTGTCACCAAAATTGGGGAGTAGAATACAAACTCCAGAACGCAAGAAAAAAACGAGAAAGAAACAAATGCAAGGGTTCTCTGCTTGAGCTCAGTGTTTTTTACAATGTCTTGGGAGGACTCCAGGACGTCAGTACTTCTGCTGGCCAGCATTCTGTTGCTGATCTTGCAAAGATTGGTAAGAGGAGTAAATACTGTGTTTTATTTGACATGATGAAATCATTTATCCTACTGAAAAAAAAAAAAAAATTAAATACAATCTTTTAGGAGCTTTGGATTAATTCTCGTGGAATTGTTCCTCTCCTTTTCCAGCCTGTCTCGGTTGAAATTCTGCCAACAGCAGTGTGCTGTTGTATGGGACCATACTGCTCTACTTACAACTTGTGAATTTTAGCTTCCCCTCAAAGAAATCACAGTATCATTGAGAAATAATTGGAATTCTCATCTGGTTTGTGGACCAGACTGACTTCGGAGGCTAGGAAGGGTATTGGATAATTAGTGTGTCCTTTCACAAATAAAATATATTAGAGATTATATTCTTTTTATAGCACTGGGTTATGTAAAACCTTACTCATGTTTTTAATGTTTATTTACATGACAAGTCTATTTGGCCTCACTGAGACAGAATGGACAAATAAAAGTTTTGGCCCAGAGCTGCTGTTTTCTCCTTACTGAACATCCTGCTTTGGAGCCAGAATATGTCCATGGGACATAAGACAGAAAGAAGAGATTCACCTGTGAGATGTGTCCAGGCTGCACTGACATAATGTTCTTCTTATTCTTTCTTTCTTCAAAATCTCTCACAAACCATTAACAGAATATTGAACTTCATGCACTGTAGGTCTGTCCTAAGGGCCCCATCCCCTTGATCTTTGAAGGGAAACTGTCCATAAGTCTTCAGTGCCATTGATCTCCATAAAATAAGAACTATAGCATTCTGGTTGTTATTTGCTGAAATGGAGCTTGAACCAAAGGTTGCTCATAAAGGGCTTGTCAAAGATGCCTTCTTTCTATGCCTTTTCTGTCAATAATGAAAAACTGAAGGGAGAAGGTAGGGGAAAGCCTGGCTTCCATTTACAGAGATATAGAAAAAATCACACCTATGATGTTAACTATCATTTGCTTTTGCAATACAGGCAGCGTCCCACCTTATGATGGATATGGCTCTACATTCCTTTGATGACCAGTACCTGGGTTGCAGAGAGCAGATGATGGAAGAACTGGAGAGGGGAGACTACTTCCAGAAGGAAATAGCTGCTAGTAAGAACTATTTGAACCTCTGGAAGAAGGCTCAGGAAGCTTTGCTGAAGAGCCCTGTAGGTCTCCTGAGGGAGATGCATGATAGTCACGCCACCGTCCTCATGGCTTACACCATGAATTCTTCCCTGCACTCTCAGCTGAACTGGGCCACATCCACAGCAGGAAGGTCTCCAGAGCATTACAGACATAACTTCAGCTACAAATATTTTCACTTTTACCTAACGACAGCTATCCAGATAATGAAGCAGTGGCAGAGCAGCAAGGACGGCGTGGGGAAACGTCACTGCTACCGGGTGCACAGGGGTGTGAAGGACTTATATATTGAGGCTACAGTTGGCAGCATGGTGAGGTTTGGCCGTTTCACCTCCACCTCTCGCCTCTGGAATGAAGCCCAGAAATTTGGGAATGAAACTTTGTTTACGGTGACAACCTGCCTGGGAGCAGCTATGCAAGGCTTTTCTTACTACACATCTGAGAAGGAAGTCCTCATTCCCCCTTATGAGATATTCCTTGTCAAAAACTTCTTTCGGACACAGCATGGTAACCGGCTCCACCTGCATTCTGTGGGGAACTACAGCAAGTACCGCTGCCAGCTCTTGGAAGGTACTGTATATACCCCTTTGAGCAGGTGGGATGCAGGCAGCCTGGTCTCCAGTAGCTCCACCAGCTCACACCAGATGTATCTACAGGGGGCCACCTGCTGCACAGCAGGCCTCAGGGCACTTTGCAGCCTCTGCTTATGTTATCTGCTATTGCAAGGATGCTGCGGGACACATGCATTGTGTCCCCAGCCTCCCTTAATGCAAGGGCAGATGAGATTTGCTGGCAACTTGAGTTCAGACACATCAGGCCTCAGGACTACAAAGGACTTTAGTGCAGTACTACTCTGCCAAGCTCAAATAAATGTAAACAAAACTACCCTGCTTCATTCCTGTTCTCCTTCCTATGGCAGAAGACAGGAGAGGTATTGACTGGCAAAACACACAGTATCAGTTTCCTGGCTAAAGAGATAACTCTTCTGTTGTATGACCTCAGTGGGTTTGTTCCACAGCCCTGTCCTAACAGTGCACCACTAATATGGGATCCTGCTTTTGTCCCTTTGGAATGAGAATTTTTGCTCAGCAGTAAGCCAGAATAGTAGGTAGACTTGAGGAAATGCTTTTTTAGGGCAAAGGTGCTTTTAGAAAGGGCAGGAAGTCCTAGGCAGTCAAAGGAGACTTAAATGACTGCTCTCTCAACTTTCTTTCAGCTTCAAGAATCAAGAACAGTGGATCTACTGCCTCTGCCTCCGTCATTCTTTTTATTGTAGTTGGCATTTTATTGTGCTGGGCCAGGTAATGACTGACTCTCTGGCTACATCCAGAAATATACACTTGAATAACAGACAAGAAAAAACAGTTGGGTGAACTGCTTGGCTTTCTGAGCATCTCCATGAAAGTTTGATGCTGCCATTCCATTGGAAATCCTGTGTCAATAAACGCAGAACCTTTGAAACCTGAGAAATGCTAGCATTAGAAATGAGAGCACTTAGGGAATGTGAGTGTCTTTGTTTTTTGGGAGGACTGAAATGAGTTGCCGGATACTCGGTATTTCTGACATCTGATATAGACACACGCAATGGCAGAGATCATCATGTAATTATTTAAATGTAGTAGCATGCCTTAGCAAACTGAACAGCTGCTGCTACAGAAATCCTGAAACATGTTTGCCTGCACAGTTTGAACAGATTTTATGATTATTATTTTACGATTAGCTTGTTCTGTATGTATATTTCACACCATATTTTTGTTTCCTTTGCTTTACCATTCATTGCAAATAATTGATTGACAGAACTTTATTATTATTCCTAATTGCTCAGAGACACTAAGTACACATTTCAAAAAGGACTGGGAAGATTAGAAACAGCTGTCACAGGTACGTCTTGAATGCGTGCAGTCAAGCTTGCTCGAACTCCTTCCTATGTGAAAGTTAATGGAATCAAGGTGGACAAGGTTGGCACATTCGTGCCTCTTGCAACTTTTCTGTTATTGCTGGGATGCAGTTTTCAATCATTTTAACAAAGATTTGGAATGCTTCACACGGCGGCCTCAGCACCCTGAAAGCCTCCTCTAAGCAGTCAGCTGCTACTTTCAGGCTTTTCTTTATGGACCTATGTCCTCGGAGGAGGGTCTGTATGAAAGCAAAAAGCGAAGAGTTGGAGGATACAGAACGAAGCTTGAGCTGTTGTGATGTTTCACCTGAGGAGGAGCTGTCTTCTGTAGTACTTGGTGTCCCATTCTGTTGCAGCATCTTAATGACATCAGCATAGTCCATGAGAAGTTCTGATACATGGAGGGATAAAGCAGGCGAACTCAGTAACTGCTCCATAGCAGACTCGACTGTGCCAGGGAAATTATCATGTTTTAACAACACTGCAACCAGTGCGCCCAAGATACTTCCTATAATCTCCTTATAATGATCATAGATATCTTTTACTGCAGCCATTTTTTCCTGTAGAGAGATGATGCGACCGGTAATTTTAGCACACAGTCTTTGCTTCATGCTTTCCTGTACATCTCTGTCTCTTGTTTCCATTGTGGCTTGCATCTCTTTTAAAGCACTGACCAGCAACTGCAGGTTCTCTTTAATGCTGAAGTTTTCTTTTACTGTCATGGTGGGGAAGTTGGTACCAAGCTGGTGATTGAGGATCTGGAATATTGTATTAGTTGAAGAGACATAAATGTACACTAATTCATACAGATTCTGGCAGGCCTTCAGCAGCCTTTCTTTGTCACCGCTAAAACCAAGGTGGGCTAACATTTCTGAAGGAGGTGTCCGGCTCTGAAAAGCAAACAGAGGAAATCCAGATGACAAAGAGGGAGAAATACAAATATTTTCAGCTAGAATGTCACATTTTTGAAATCAATATTACAAATTATCAAACCACCTTACTCTCCCCACAAGACCTCAGTGTTAGAAAAAAAAAAAAACAGAAAAAGCTCTTAGTCAACCTTACCAAAATGGACAGCAAAATACGGTTTCAGAAGCTGCAGGTGTGGTTATTCTTATGGATGCAGGAGTTCTGAACCTGACCCTCAGCATGTCATCTGAAAAGCAATAGTAGAGGAGATGAAATAGCAGATGAATTATTTTCACCTTTGATATCTATTGGTAAAGTTGTCTAAAGTTGTCTAAGTCCTCTCAAACAATCTACATTACATCATTCCTAGAACTATAATCCTTCAGTTTGCATATAGTAGTGGGTATACACAAAATTAAACATATTACAGGAGTCTTTACATGTCCTACACTTCGGGCTTTTTTCTGTTGTTCTGAGAACAGTGAGTTATACCATCCCCTTACAGCAATGGTTGTAAATTCTTCTGCCATAGGCAGATGGATTCAGCCTTTGTTAGGAGGACCTAACAATTGTGAACTAGTGTGAAATAAATTGTAATGTGTTAAAATTAAAAGGAAAGGAAAATGAGGAAGAAAATGAGGAGAACTCAGATAAACATCACATAATAAAATTAATGGCAAACAGGCAGGCAGCAGGACCCAGCTGAAGCCTGGGCTCTGGATCCCTGACTCATCACATGCCGCTGGAAACCACCAGAGAAACACAGTGGAAACAGGATGAGATCACTGCCCTGTACACATTCAGCTGTTTGAAAGAGCACTTGGGCACAACCAGGTAGGCAGTCTGAATGTTTAACTCAAAAAGTCTCTGGGAAAAAATATACCTGGAGTTGGAGAAATAGACAGAAATATGGAAATGTGTGTGGCCTGTCTAACTCTACAAAGTGAATGTGAATAAAGCGTCAATGTGAAGAATAAGAGATAAGTTATGTTTAATGGACATAAAATCAAAAGAAATCATTGGAATCTGAAAGAATCATGCTTAAAAATAGATGCTATCAGTATTCTCCATAGCTTTCTAGTAGGTAAAATGTTCATTGAAACGTTCTTTCTCTTAGAACATTTTGTCTTTGCAGCTTGTACAAATGGGGATTAACAAATGATCTTTCAACCTAGCATCAGCAAAGTTGAAGGTATTAATATCACACTGAGCCAGAGTACAAGCCAGCAGCATCCCAGAAGCATAAGGAATCGTACCTTGAGCTGGCAGGACTTTTGTTTCCCTAAGTCAAAACCTTTTACTGTATGTAACCTTTGCTTCCTCTAGCCTTAAGAAAGATAAGTTAAAGAGTTTATTCTCTTAGCAGAGCTACAAGGTAAGTGTCTGAAACAACAATGTACTGTGCAAAATACTGTGGGAAAAATCACGAGAGAACTGGCTTGTAGTTCAACACTAACATCATTTTACCAATCTACTATTGCATATGCATAATTGCATATTGTTAGCTGGCTTTGTTGCTCTGAGCATGTTCATAAGTCTCATAAAGTCCTTTTTGAATAATTTGGTTAAGGATACATAACAGTGTTTAAGATTTATGGATGTACAAGCTATGTCTTGGGATTTGATTTGCCAAGCATAAGAACTAGTGAGGCAGAGACAAAGCAGTCTACATTTCACTGCTTATTAAGGGATAGGATTATGGGTATCAAACAGAGCAAGAACCTTCTTTTCTCTCTTGAAGTAGTTTGTTCCTGAAGAATGGCACTGAGTGACCTCCTTTACCCAGAAAATCCCAGGAGACGACAAGAACTGATCCATCTGCACCGGGAATTGCTTGACTGCATGTCCATGAATTTCCATGCAACAAATGAGTTGGCTGGAGTTCTGAATGCACACCTGGGGTGTACTATCACCCACATCAAGATGAGAGAGAGCAGCACTGTCAAAGAAAACTGTGATATTATCATTCAAGCGATGCGTGAGATTCAGTGTCAAGTACAGAAGATTGATAGTGACATGAGGGAGAAGCTGGAGCCTGTGCTGTACCAGAAGCTGTACGATATCAAAGAGCCTGAGTTGGAGAAAATTGCAATAGCCCATAAAGTTTTTTCCATTGTTCTTGGAGAAGTGACTTCAACTGCTGGGATGGTAGCTGTCAAACTGCTTAGCTCCAACCTTATCACTATCACGGTCTGCAAACTCATCAGCCTCCTTGCGCAGATCGGGGCGTCTGTTCTTGGAGGAATCAGCATTACCATCCTTGGGCTCGGCATGGAAATGATTCTCCATGCCATTCTGGGAGCTGTAGAGAGGAATCAGCTGCTGGCAGCTGTGAGGAGCTATGAGGAGCACCTGGCTGAGTTTAAAGAAGCATCAGAAAAATACCAGTGTGCCATACGTGAAGTGACTTCTTTGGTCAGACATCAAGTTCAGTGAATGGAAAGGCAACACTTTAAATACATGTCACTTTTTCTTCACCTGTTTTCCAGAATGGATTGTAGATGAAATGCTATTGGTACTACTGACAGTAATAAGCACTGCTGGAGCAGAAGTGGTGAGAAAGTACAGTTTTTCTCTTCCAGAGTTTCTCCATCAAAATGACATCATAACAGAAGAAAATGATTTCAGCAAAACAACCATATAATCACCTGAAGAATTTACCAGGATGGCTGTTACCATGATATCTTGGTGTGGATTTGTGCTAAATCTGACAGGCTGAATTCCCCGTTCATAGAAGCACTTACAAGGACTAGCTAAAGCACACGTAACTCCTATTTCCTGTGCCTTCTTGCCTGAGAAGCCAGCCAGAGATCTTTATATAAACTCTAATGCCAGCAGATTAACAGATAGAAAAATCATGGGCCTACAGGCCCAAAAGTTGAGAGAACCCAGCTGTAGTGCTCCTGATGTATCTAGCTGTGAAAAACATCATGTTATCAGTACTGTCCTGCTCCTGCCCACTCACAGGTAGATGCTTCTGTGCACACTTGCTACTTTGTTGATCAAATGGCATTATATGCTTACACAAGGATTTGTAAGATTACAGCCCTATTAATGCGCTAAATTTACAAGAGCTTCACGAGTCACCAGTGTGGGACTGCCAAAAATACTCTAATTCTACATTTCACAACTTGCCACCAAATGGCCTTATTTTGCAGCCTTTCAGAACAAAGCTAGAAGCAAGAGCATGATTTGCTGTCAATCTCTGATTTGCTGTGGTTTGCTTTTTTTCTTTGAAAAAAAAAAGAATATATATATATAGAATTAGGAATTAATAAAAAGATATCTAAATATTCTCAGTGCTCTCTTTCCTGCACTTGATTTTTTTTTTAATTATCATAAGAAATAAATCTCAAACCAAATCAGGAAAAAAAAATTGAAATCCTTCATTATGGATGCAGATTATAAATTCTTCATACATGCTTGTTAACACTCAGCATCAAATGTTGGTTAGATAGTGCATGCAAAAATGAAGAGACGGGTGAGATTACATCAAGGAAGCTGTCCACTGTCATCTTCCAATCTGTTTTGGTGTTGTGTATATATATATGCATATATATATATATATATATATACAACTTTTTTTTTTTTTTTTTTCCTACTATTCCCACTTTATTATTTCTTTTTTCCTCTTTTGTTTTCACTAACGTGGTAGCCACTAGATGGCAATGCAGCTGCTGGCTCTCAAGAGACAAAGTTCAAACGCCAGAGAGGCCACTGCTGAATTGATAAAACTGGGACCAGCACAAGCCACAGGCTGGGCAGTGTGACCCAGGAGAGGCAACTTAGAGGAAGCAAAAAAAACCTGCCTTACCAAGACATAAGCTTTTGTGTTGGCTTGGTGACCCAAAGCATCTTGTTTAATGTGTGATGTAGCCTCACTCCTGACCTGTACAGCTGTCAGTTTAGGGGCAGCTGTTCAGAGGCAAGAGGCTGTACAAACTGTCCAGCTGCAGAAGCAGTGCCATTTTGAGCGTTGCAGAGGTAGGAGTTCCTCATTCCTGCTGTTTTCTGTGTGCAAATCTACACTCTAATTTAGGGAGAAAAAGAGTGAGCTCACTACATATCTCTGTGAGATTGTCAGCCACTGCTGTAGTAGAAAAGTGGAGTCAAACAGAAGCAAATCTGTTGTACTTTTCAGAGAGCTTACCCACATTTTCTTGAAAGCAAATTCTAAGCAGTGCCAGTGGAAGCAGGACACACAGTGAAGAACCTAAAAATACAGTTTCTATTCACCTTTTGATTGATCCTGGATCCTGCTGGGCTTAGTGGAAGGATGACTTCCTTGAAAAAGCAGGTGCCTGAGATGTCCTCATGTCCATAAGATGCTGAAGGTGCTGGAGCCCAGCAGGAGGGAACCTTTCCCACAGCGTATGGGGCACAAGGCCGTGAGCCCACAGAAGCCTGGCCAGAACCCCAGGGAGCTGACCTCATAGTGGGGTACAGCACCTCCCACCCCCACAAGGGAGCCCTGAGGTTAAAAAAAGCCACATGCTCTTTTCCCCTAGTCCAGCAAAAAAAGAATCTATGGGACTTGCTGATATCGCTGGCAGTTGTGTAGTATATTTTTCTACTAGTCAGTAGACATCCCTGGGAGAAAGCAGTTGTGGTCGTCATGGTAACGCTTTGCCCGAGCCGAATATTGCCACAGTGAGAGACCCAGCCTCTGTGTGGAGAGGGCAACCTGCAAAAGCTCAGCAAGCTCTCTCTCTCCAGTGACAAGGCGCTCGTCAAGGATGCTCATGGTGGAGGTGTTCCCACCACATCCCTCGTGTATTCCCTCCCTGCTCTGCGTGTGGACGCAGAATGAAGAATTAAATCTGCATAGTGCAGACGTGTTCTATATAAGCACAACCCCAATGAAGAAGGCAGCCAAAACGAGGCACTGCTAAGCAACCAACTGCCTCATGTGGCTGCTGAAGGTGTCAGTAAACATCACCTGCTTCCTTCTATCACAAACCAAAGACGGGGACAAGATTTAAATTATTTCCATTTATTTCTCACAGCATCTATTAAACAGTGAAAAAGTCTCAGCAATTCAGGTTGTTCAGAGTTTTATTTCCCAACCCTCCCCCGGACCGCCGCCGTCCCGGCAACCCCCGCGCGTGCCAGAAAGGCAGCGAGATCATAGAGTTGGCGCCGTGCTGCGCTTGTGCTTTTACGACAGTCGTGCTTTACGGCGGTCGTGCTTTACCGCCGCGCGCCACTCCGTCCCCGTTCAAGATGGCGGCGCAGCAGCGGCGAGCAGCGCGGTGGTGGTAGAGGCCGCGGCGGCGGGAGGGAGCTGAGCTGCCTCGCCTTACCCCGCCGGGCCGAGTGGTGAGAGACAAGGGATGGAACTGGGATGGGGAAAGGGAAAGGGAAACGGAAAGGGAAGGGGAAAGGGAAAGGGAAAGGGAAAGGGAAAGGAAGCGGGGGGATGAAGGCGGTTGGCGCTGCCGCCTTCTTCCTTTCCCCCAACATCCCTCGAGGTGGGGAGGCCTTCGTGTGCTTCATTGGAGGCTTTATGCCTCGCTCCCCAGTGCTCACGAAGCATACGTTGGGTCGGTTGATTTTTTCCCTCCTCCTTCACCGGTTATCTTGTGCGGACCCTGCTTTTTGCCCTAAAAGGATTTGGGATCAAGGTTTGAGAACGTTTTTCTCTTTGAGAAAGGCAATGCCTCTGACTGTAGTTCAGCCATTACAGTTGACTGTAAGTTAAAGAAGTGCCCAAAGATGGGAAAGAACTCTTTATTAGACTAGTCTTTCCTTTCTGGTCATTGTGATGCAGTTTAAAACAGATGCAGATTGAGATGGCATAAGGGTAGTGGTCTGTGAGAAGAAAAAGAATGTGTACAGAGTGCTTCTTGATGGATGTGGTGGTTGATGATTGGTAGGGGAGAAGTCAAGGGCAACCTAGAAGTCTGGGAGGAAAAAGGATATATATGGGAAACATTTGAAGTAGAGGTATCTTAGGCGATTAAATGGAAAGCTAGAAAGGCTCTAACATGCTTATGTTATGGAAGGATACAATAAGATACAAATTTATTTTTTTAAAAGCAAGAAGCTTCCCAGTTCAAGTCATGAGATGAAGAACAAACTGACTTGTTTAAAGTCTGCACTTAAAGTAGTTGTAAGTAAGTAGTTAAGTGGTACTTAATTAAAATAGGATGGTTTTGATGTGAATGCCTGAACTTGTATAGGATTTGATGATCTTACTTGAGGTTTTCTTTGGTTTGTCAACCTACTAATACAAAGAGGACGAATAAGCACACGTGTCCTACTTATGCATAGGACCTGAAATTATGGTTATCTTTTCCAGGTCTTTTTCAGTTGTTTTATTTTGAAGCAGAAGAAAAAAAGCCAAAATGGGGCGGAGATCTACATCATCCACCAAGAGTGGGAAATTCATGAATCCCACAGATCAGGCTCGTAAGTACCCTTAAAAACTAAGCAAAAGGGAATGGGGAGTCCCAGGCAAGCAGATAAAGACCTTTCTCAGAGGATAAGATCATCCCTTCTGTCTGGGAACTGAGTTTCCCAAGCTCAAAAAGTACTGTTTCCATTTTGGCTGTAAAAATTTCCAAGAAGGCTACTAGCTTGCATGCTGTTGCTGTTCTGCACTATCTTTCCCTTAATTTTTACTGTAATTATCAGTGTTTTGTAGTTTTTATACTTAACTATTGGCTGAGCTGCTCCTTGAGGTGGAGGTAATCTATCTGAGGCTAGAATTTATGGAATGTCACATTTTGCAAAGGCTCAGTTTACAGGAGGGGGTTGTCTAATCTTTTCCTTTTTTGTAACATACTGCATTTTCAGTGCTACATAGAAACAGAAAAACCAGGCTTCCACTGTGAGCATTCTTTGTTTCAGATGCATGTTCAAAGCCTGCATATTTTTAAAAGGCATTGTTTCTTGTTGACGCTACATTTCAGCAGCAATCTTTTACAACTGCATGCATCACTGTGCCTTTTTTTTGTCTGTTATTCTTTTCAGTATAAAAACATTGCTGCTTCTAGAGGCCTGAAGACTGCTATGTTGCATTTTCTTTCTATATGACACATACGACTTAGATTTCTATTTCATATTGTGTTTATCTATCAGTGGGAAGATGAGCTTTAAAATTTCCTTTTATTTAATGAAAAATTCAAAATGAATGAACTGTTGAGAAGTAGTGCTTGTCCTGAAGAAGGAAAGGTTGTTTGCGGATTTGAGCCACTCTTTCAAGTTTTTTTTTTCTTTCTTTCTTTCTTTTTCTTCCCTCTCTCTAGGAAAGGAAGCTCGGAAGAGGGAACTAAAAAAGGTACATAAAGAGATCTGGAACATTTACTTGGCATTCCCTGTGCTTTGCATGATGTTTGTGATTATAAAGGGCCATGAATGGTGAATAGACTACAGTGTTTCAGTTGATCTTGTAAAATTTAGTTAGGAATATACTGTCCAAACAGTTAAGAAAACACAGGCAGAAATCTGGATTTGAGTTAAAACAAAACAAAAAACCTTTATGTATTTGTTGGCATCATTCATTTTATTGTTTTTGTCAGTTGATTTATTTTACTGATTGTGTCTTCATTGGAATGTATGAGTTATAGAACCATCTGTAAATAGTGAGATAGTGGAATTACAACTCCTAGAAGTTTTGAATATCTCTCCTGCTGATTTGTGCTGTGGCTAATATTTGCAAGGCATTTTGAGGTGCCTTTTTCTTTTTCTATTAGATTGGGAGTGTTGACAGAGGGTTATTTAGCAAAAAGCTTTTCTTTCTCCTGTGTCACTTTTCTGATCTCCTCGATTTCTGATCTTAGAACAAAAAGCAACGAATGATGGTACGAGCAGCTGTACTGAAGATGAAAGACCCAAAGCAGATCATCCGGGACATGGAAAAATTGGATGAGATGGGTGAGCAGGGGAGGTACTGGGTGCTGAAGATAGCTGTCAAACACTGAGTACTGAGTATGTAAGTGACTTATAATTGGTCTTGATGGAGAAGACTTCCTGAAAATAGGAACTGAAAGTGGTTTGAAGTTGTTTCATTAATCGTGGTTGTGGAGTAGAGTAACTTCTGAATCTTTGGCTTGCTTTTGCTGTCTTTGATTAGAGTTTAACCCAGTGCAGCAGCCACAGCTTAATGAAAAAGTGCTAAAGGATAAACGCAAGAAGCTCCGTGAGACTTTTGAGCGTATCTTACGGCTCTATGAGAAGGAGAATCCTGACATCTATAAAGAACTCCGCAAGTTGGAAGTGGAGTATGAGCAAAAGAGAGCACAACTCAGCCAGTATTTTGATGCTGTCAAGGTAATGCTTTTAATGTTGAGGCTTGTAACTGTGTACTGTATAATCTTCTTTTTCTCTTTAGGTGCAACAGTTTAAAAAGGAGTCTTTATAAGAGACCAGTATATATTTAGTTAATATTAAGCACATGTACTAGGTTTCTTAGTAACTCCAGTTAGAGTATTTCAGTGAAGACAGCGTGGGGGATGACTAGTCCATATTTCTCCCTCTTATATTGATTTAATTTAATAATAGATTAGATTAAAGGAAAACTTACATTGCAGATCGATATTGGGATCTATTTTCTGTATTAAGGAGAGAGAGAGAGCATATGAGTGTGTGCAGTTGGTATTTCTGTTAAATCTTGTATGGGGACTGCTAAATCATGGCCTGAACCTCTGATTGACCACCTGAGATGAGCAATGAGTCAGCCCTGGGAGCACAGGTGAAGGCAATTCACCTGTGCAACTGGAAGGGGTGGAACCTGGCTCCACCTGTCCTAGACTCTATTTAAGAGCTGACTACCACTGGGGAAGGATCTCTTTTGGAGATTGCTCCCCCTGGAGTCTTCTCAGTGAGCCCAGGACAAGGGTAAGCTTTCCATCCTTGCTTCTTTAGTGTGATAACCTTTTTGGTCTAACTTTCCTGTATATTTCTTAACTATAACATCCGTATACTCGTTGACTACACAAATCTGGATCTGCAAATGGGATTTGTCATTCATTAAGGAACTTTCTGTGAAATTTTTCCCAGTTGTACAGAAAAATTAATGTTGCACATGTGCAAGTACTTTAAATTTTCTTTTTCTAGGGTATGCCGAGCCTATGATTGAAGTTTTTTGGATGCTCAGGAGGTGTAGGCATACTTGCCTGCATTTTTTTTTTTGTTTTGTTTTGGGGATAGAAGGTTTAAAGCTGATGAAGATGTGGTTGGGTTTGACTAAAAGACAAAAGCTTTTCATGTGTGCTCTGCGTGTGTGATTTGTTTTGTACTGAAAGCATTTACTGCAGCATTGACTGCTGTAAGGCAGCATGCCTGTGTAACAGACTTTTGGCAAGTGATGGCAGGTCCCATGTGCTGAGTGTTCTTAAAGGTAATAAGGCTGTACAGTAGCTTCTGTGGAACTCAATTGTTATTTTTTTTCTTCCCCCAGAATGCTCAGCATGTTGAAGTGGAAAGTATCCCTTTACCTGACATGCCTCATGCTCCCTCCAACATTCTTATACAAGACATTCCCCTTCCTGGGGCCCAGCCACCTTCTATCCTCAAGAAGACATCAGCCTATGGGTAAGAGGAAAAAGATGCTTGGAAGGGGAAAAAAAACAGGAATGCTTTCTCTTACTAGGAAAGAGCTGGGGTTGGAAATGGGAGTAATACTGAGAAGCAGAAATTGGAAATTCTGTGGGAGTTAATTGTTTTTGGTTTTTTTTTTTGTTCTGTTTTGACTGGAAAACCTCAATCTTTCCTTCCTATTAGATTTTCTGTTTAAACTGATTTGGGTGGTATTTTGTACCTTTTTGTCTTTCTGTTTACTGGTCAAACTTAAAGCCCTCATTGTTTGAACGTAAATATCCCTTGATCTGTCATGCAGTTGTTTGTGTTGTTTTTTTTTTTTGTCTTGCTAGTATTTCAGTTTAAACTCCTAGTTTATTTGTGTATCTTTCTCTCAAGATAGTACTAGTTCTTCCTATGCATATATATATATATTTTTGAATAGTCTGATTTCACAACTTGTTGCATAAGCAATTTGTTTCTTGTTGTGATTTTTCTGGTTTTCATTTTCTGTCTTATTTCCAGACCACCAGTTCGTTCTATTTCTATGCTTCCTCCTCCTGGGCTCGGTGTTCCACGTTTACCTCCTGGCAGGAAGCCCCCAGGACCTCCTCCAGGACCACCCCCACCACAGGTCCTACAGATGTATGGTCGTAAAGTGGGTTTTGCTTTGGAGGTGGCTCCTCGAAGGCGAGAGGAAGACGTTTCTTACGGTTCTGAACCAGGCAAGGACTTTCCTGTCTCTTTCTGGGTTCTTGACCTCTTTGTTTTGCTGTGAATAGTACTGCTGTGAACATGGTGCACTCTAGATAAGGTGTTGTCTGGATAATACGAGTGTTTGTACTACTTGAAGAACTCTTTGAGTGATTTGCAATCCTGAGGTGATTCCAATATATTTCATAACATTTGCAGTTTTGTTGTTGAATGTATTTCTAAATGCTGTATTTTTTAATTTTAGCTTGCAGATACTTTTTCGTTATGTTGGGTAAACTGAGTTTTCCCATGTAGTCTTAGCGAGGCTGAAATGTGTTTTACTCTATTTTTAAGGAGATAGTATGTGTATTTGCAGAGCAGTAATCTTCCCCCTGCCCGCCACCTTGCGGGCAAGAAAACAGACAAAAACTGTAACACCAAATCTGAGGAAGCATTTTCAAACAGTTACTGTATTTTCTATAGAAACTTCTACAAATGGGAATGTCAGCTCACTGCATACCAAAAAGGACTGAAATATTTCTAAGGGGGAAGTTGTGTAATTCAGTTCCCTTCACTTACTTACTGTGCCAGTTAATTAACTGTTAATAGGAAATCTTACCAATGTGCTCCCCAGAATACATTAAGAATGTGTTAAATAGCAAATTTTGACAATACATTCACTCTGCTGCTAGGAAGATTTTTCTTACTGTGAACTTAAAATATTCTGCCTTTCACACCAGTGTGCTTGGAGTTCATGTCTTTCTTAATACTTTGCTTTTCACAGGGCAGCGAGGGCATGATGATGATATGTCCAGTACAAGTGAGGATGAAGGCTATCCTGAGGATATGGATCAAGACAAGCATGATGAGAGTAGTGATGATAGTGACAGTGATAGGTCAGATGCAGACAGTGAAGGTGAGGACTTCCCACATCGTGATAATGACAAGGAGAGGGAAGGTGGAGAAGAAAAGAAATCAGGTATGATGGGAATTTACGGACTGGGTTTTTGAGTTTTCAGGAGAAAAGTACTACTAAACAGTGTTTTGTCTGTTCTCCTTACTGTGGGGTAGGGGAAAAAAGTAGTCTGTTTAGCCAATGAACTCTGTTGTAGGTCACTTAAATTCCACCTGAACAATTTTATTAATGAATGGAAACTACCAAGAAGTTCACTATCTGAATGTGCAACATTTTTCACCTGAAGCATTGAAATAGCAAAGAACCCCATGAAAAATTGTTACTGTAAAATATACTCACTCTTTGGTGACTTGAATAGTACTTCTGTGATGGCTGCACTATTAATACTTTTGGATGATTTCTCTTGATTGTTGAAAAGGATTCCAATTGACGGAAAATCCTAGGTTACCAAATCTTGAGAAGATTGGGAAGAAGATGGCTCTTAACTCTTATTTAGGAGTATCATTATGTCATAATGATGTATTTTCTGTATCAAGTGGAGGACTTTAATGTATTTCATACACACATTCATTTTTGTGTTTTAATATACGTGTATTTTATTTTTATATTTACTGATTTATTCTGTTCCCTCTGCCTTTTTTTTTTTTTTTTTTGTCTGTGCTTTGCTTCCCCCAGGTCACAGCGTGCGGTTTGCAGACATGCCTGGGAAATCACGGAAGAAGAAGAAGAACATGAAAGAACTGACTCCGCTCCAGGCCATGATGTTACGAATGGCAGGTGGGTGATATGCCTCCTCTCAACGTATCCCTACCATTACATTTGCAGATCAGGTTTCCTGGTGAACTTAATTCACACAATTCTGTTTTATAGAGGTAAAAGCATTACTGCCATACTGTAAAATCTACTAAGAATGTAAAATGTGGTTGGTTTTAATTTATATTATTATTTTTAGCCTAGTGTGCTCAGCCTGTAATCTGCAAGGTTTAATACTTCGTAAAAATATCCTTTTGAAGAAAGGTATTAACCCACAGAGTCCAGATTTTTCATTTTAAATAGACACAAAGACACTCATGTATTTTTTTCGTGGGGGGGGAAGGAGAGGAAAGGAAGCTGGGAGAAGATGGGTTTCTTAGAAGTGGTGATTATGTCTAGTTTGGGGGCTAAATATTAAAAAAAAAAAAAAAAAAAAAAAAGCTTTATCTCCCACAAACTCAAATAACTGGTGTTCAGATTTATTAATAGAAGTTTCAGTGCCCCCAGGAAAGCAGAACTATCTAGTACTTCTTTGCATTTTGTGTGTATTAATATCGTCAGTTTTCTTTCCTTTGAGGTGAACTTCTCCTTTTTTTTTCCTTTTCATTCTTATTTAGTGTTTTATGTTGACAAAGTTGATACTTGTGGACTGATATTTATAAATGTGTCTGCTTTCAGGTCAGGAAATCCCAGAAGAAGGGAGAGAAGTGGAGGAATACTCAGAAGAAGAAGAAGAGGAGGAAGATGACTCAGAGTCTGAAGACACATCACAACAGCAGCAGCAACAACAGCAACACAGTGAGGAAGCTCTTGCAGAGACTGGGTCATCTACTGCAGCCTCAAGTCAGCAGCAGCAGTCTTCACAGGCTGTTGCTTCGGGTCAAATACAGGCACCTCCTATGCCTGGGCCACCTCCTCTAGGACCACCTCCAGCCCCTCCACTGAGACCCCCAGGGCCACCCACTGGCCTTCCTCCTGGCCCTCCACCTGGTGAATATTTGATTTGTTTTGTTTTGAAGAATGCAGGCTCTTAGTATTACAGATGGTTTATTGGTATCGGGGTTATGAAGCTGCAGGGTGTGTTACACATTAAGTACAGAAGCCCAGTGTGGTGTTTGCTGAGACCTGTGAGGTTTCTTCCATGGCCAGTCTGTGGTTTTCTTAACTCTTCTCCCAGTTTTGTTTCTGACATCCCCTAGAAGGGGAACCTCAAACCTCAAAGCAGCTATTTTCAATAGAGTGAAATTACTTTGTACTTCTCAGGCCAGAATCACAGCCTGAAGAGACTAAAATGCTTTCATTTCTAGCTGTTTAAGTTCAGATAACCATACTTTATTAGCTGTTCTCAATTGTTGCTTCAATACATGGGGAAAAGCCTTTCTCAAAGATGGAGAGAATATTTGTACTTGTAGAGCCAAGAAAGCTTCTTGGTTATATTCAACTGTTGCCTTTTCCTGAGACAACTTAGAAGATCTGGTTTAATCAGGCAGCTGGCTAGTATGGGAACACCTCTGAAGTTCCTGTTGAGAATCTTCAGTATTAGCAGGTGGGATTGTTCTTGTATCCACGAACCTAAGTTCTTCTCCTACGTGTATGCTTTCAGGAGCTCCTCCTTTCCTGAGACCTCCTGGTTTACCAGGACTGCGTGGGCCTTTACCTCGACTTCTACCACCAGGTCCCCCGCCTGGGCGACCCCCAGGCCCTCCCCCCGGTCCCCCACCCGGTCTTCCCCCAGGCCCTCCTCCACGTGGACCCCCTCCTCGCCTGCCACCTCCTGCCCCACCAGGTAAAGTACTGTGCTTTGGAGCCAGCTTTTTCCCTACTTTGTCTTCCCAGTTCTCTATGATCTTTGTTTTGGTGATCAAGGCAGTATATCTAATTGGAGTATCAGATATTCCTTTAGACCTTAAATAGTTCCCTACTACCAGTCTGCCTTTGTTCTTGTATGTGCAGCTAAAGGTATGCCCTTAGGTTCTTTCTGGTTTGCTCCTTGATGCCATTTCTTTATAATAACAAATAATTCCATACTGCTATGCATATTTTAGTAGTGAGAGATCTGGCACTTACAATAAAAAGTTTGTGTTTAAACGTGTGCTGCATTGTTTCTGTATAGGAGATAGTGTGTTGTGATTTTTTTTTTTTGTTTGTTTTGCTGGCTAGTGCTTCTGATTTTGAAATTCCAGTGGGATAAATCATTAAGGAAGCTTTTCAGATTTTAACTTTGAAAATTGAAAGGGAGCAATACACAGGCTCTTGTGGCTTCCCAAGTCTGCTGAGCAGTTTTCTTGTCTTAATTCAACTTCCTTCCACCTTCTTGTTGGGAGCTACCAAGTGGTGCAATACTTGTCCCTGTTTCCCCTTCTCTAAAGCCAGCGGCTCTGCACTTTGTTGACATTCTTTGGCTTTGTGAGCCTGTGCATTATTTTTGTCCAGAGATTTTAGGAATCCCAGGTAGAGTCAGCTCACCTTTTCTCCTCTTCTTTACAGGTATCCCTCCTCCTCGCCCAGGCATGCTGCGGCCACCTCTGGTGCCTCCATTAGGACCTGCCCCGCCTGGGCTTTACCCACCAGCTCCTCTTCCAAACCCTGGTGTTCTGAGTGCCCCACCCAGCTTGATTCAGCGTCCCAAGGCGGATGACACCAGTGCAGCCACCATTGAGAAGAAGGCCACGGCTACTATCAGTGCCAAGCCACAGATCACTAACCCCAAGGCTGAAATCACTCGCTTTGTGCCCACTGCCTTGCGAGTGCGCAGGGAGAATAAAGGGGCTTTGGCTGCCTCTCAGAGAAAACAGGATGATGAGCCTGCTCTCCCGTTAACCAAAGCTGCCCCTAAGGCTGGATCGTCTGCCCCTATCTCTGTACAGACGAAGGATGATGTGTATGAAGCCTTCATGAAGGAAATGGAAGGTCTTCTCTGACCTGTCCCAATCAGCTTTCCTGCCCTCTGAGCACAGATCAGGCCACCACAGAGGAAGAAGGAGAGGTCTTTCTGCAAGCAATGAAAGGGCTCGCATGACAGGGAAAGGTTCCCTACTACCCATGGGTTAACTTGCCAGTATGCTCTGAGTAGAGACTGCTGCAGGTGAGGTGCAGCCAAGTATTTCCTTTCAGAGCCAGCGTGTCCACTTGGAGCAAGGGAATTACAGTCAGTAAGGCAACTCTGCTTCCCTTGAGTCCTCCCAGTTCCTTGGAGGAGGTGATGGTGCTCTGTGGAGGGGGCATAGGAGTTGGGGCTGACTTTGCTCTTCCTTAATCCTTTCACATCCTGAATGCTCTGGTGAGGGTAGTGGAGCCAATTTTTAAGGAGCCAGAAAAGCGTTAGCAGAATTTCATACACACGTGGTTGTCCAGTTTTTATTTTCTGTACTGTTCCTTTCTGTAAATATTTTATAATCCTGTTTTGTTTTATTTTTAGTTGCAGTGAGATCAATCATCTTTCTTCCGGGGTAGTCAGGGCGGTCATTTGTTGCGTATACTGTACACTGGAATTTTGCACCCTGTCCCCTTAACCGTCATCTTGATGGCTTTTCATTGGCAGGGGAACCTTCATTTTGTCTTGTGAAAGACAATAAATATTCAGTGTATCAAAATATTGGCTTCTTGTGGTATTTGTAAATCTAGCGTGTAGGTGGAAAAGGAGGTGGTTCTTATTTTCTAGTATTGAAAGATGTTTTACTTGAAATACTGCTTTAGTTCCATAAACTATACTGACAGAGTCAATATTCCAGAAATCATTGCAAGAAACAAATACTTGCAGTCTGCATCAAATGGGAACAAAACTTACTGGGTTCTTGTAGACAAAACCATTGTTAGACCTGGGGGATGAGCTGTGTAGGCAGTAAGACTTTTCCAAATGCTTCCTCAGAGAGGGAACTGCATTTTCAAAATACTCAAGTTCTGTCAGAAGCACTGAATTTGAGCACAAGATTAGGAATTGGTTATTTATGAGAGTGCCTTTATCTTGTTCTTTAAAAAGGCAACAAAATGGGTACTGTTACGAGAGCATAGAAGAGCGTGGGAGAGCTTTGTCCCTGTTCAAGGGCTTACACTGAATGACTTCTAGTGAATGATTTCTATCCAGGCTGGTGGCTGAATATATAGGACGTAAATGCTCCTGTTCTTAGTCAGCCAGACTGGTGAGTACCTCAAGCAATACCTTTAGTTGGCTGTAAGCCTCAGGCTGAGTATTGATGACTCAGCCTTACCCTTTGATTTTGTTTTCCTGGATTCTGGAAGCAAGCAGAAGAGCTGGATTTCTCTATGCAAATCCTCTAGGAAATACTCCATTCGTTTTCTGCAAAGGGTCTGAAGCCAGGCAGGGCACTGCTGCATCCTCTGTGATGCTGTCCTACAGGACTTCTCTTTTGGATGAACTGCAAAGGTACTGTATGTGGAAACCAGATGCACGTAGGGCTGACGCTTTAGCGGAAAGACCCGGTCTCTGATTCGCCTTAAGCTAAATCAGTGTGGGGGGGGGGCTTCTCTTCTTTGCCTTTAGTGCAGATCTAAGTGAAAAGAGCATGAAGAGGTGACTTCTTCCCATTGCTTTTACCAAAGCAGCGGGAGCTGGGGCTGCTCGTGCTTCAGTCTATTCATTCACGTCCTCGCCTGGCTCCTCAGCATCGTGCAAGCGGTGGCCGATGGCACGGAGGTCAAATCCAGCGCCGAGCGCTGCTGCCAACCCCGATATCAAACCGCTCAGAAACGACAGCGAAACCAATTGCCGGGGACGCCACGCCCACCGCCGCGGAGCGCTGATGAAATGGGGGTGCGCGGAGCCGGGCAGCCGCCCGCCGCCCATTGGGTGGATTTGGATCCGCGGCGCCATTGGTCAGAGCGAGAGAGAGAGCGGGCCAGCCAATCGGAAAGCGAGCCGGGCTGCTTCGGGAGGCTATAAAAGGGGAAGGGGAGGGAGCGTAGCGACACGTGAGTCGCGTCAGCGGGGCGGTGGTTGGTGGTGCTGTTAGGAGCGATGTCGGGCCGTGGGAAGCAGGGCGGGAAGGCGCGCGCCAAGGCCAAGTCGCGCTCGTCGCGGGCCGGGCTGCAGTTCCCCGTGGGCCGCGTGCACCGGCTGCTGCGCAAGGGCAACTACGCGGAGCGGGTGGGCGCCGGCGCCCCGGTGTACCTGGCGGCCGTGCTGGAGTACCTGACGGCCGAGATCCTGGAGCTGGCGGGCAACGCGGCCCGCGACAACAAGAAGACGCGCATCATCCCCCGCCACCTGCAGCTGGCCATCCGCAACGACGAGGAGCTCAACAAGCTGCTGGGCAAGGTCACCATCGCGCAGGGTGGGGTGCTGCCCAACATCCAGGCCGTGCTGCTGCCCAAGAAGACCGACAGCCACAAGGCTAAGGCCAAGTAAAAGCTGAGGAGTGATCCTATCTCTAAGGAACCCAAAGGCTCTTTTCAGAGCCACCCACTTCCTCGTAAAGGAGCTGCAGATCCCAAAAATATCTGTTGGCTTTGCTACTAAAAGTCAGGTGTTAGCATGAAGATAGCATATTAGGGTAAACACTAGACGTGATCAAATAATTTACTAAAAGCTGAATGTGTGCTAGAAGATCACAAAGTTAGATTTTGTGTTAAAGGAATCTGTTTGGTAGGGGTGAGAAAGGCAAAATGTTGAGTATTGCTGCAAGAGCCAGCGGCAAGGTTTTTCCAGTCTATATCAAGCTGTGAGCTCACTGGTCCCCCTGGGGAGCTTGGCCTGCCCCAGCAGTGCCTGGAGGCTCAGTCATTCCTTCTCTGGGCACTCCAAGATAATTTTTAATGCAGTTTTGCCATGGCTTCGTCCAAGCTGTGCCTCTACTGCATTACACCTGGATGAGAGCTGTGTGAGCTAAGGAGAAATGCTGCCAGCTTTGGCTGCACTTCATCCACACCAATGAACACTGTAATAGAGATGTTGAGACAGAAACAGACATCACCATTCATAGGTCAGAGAGCACATTTTAATAAAACAAGAAATTACAGGAAGCAAAATGATGTTACGTTGTAGTGCCACAAGTGGTTACAGGTGGCTGTGGGAAAAACAAGGGTTGCAGACAGCAATAGAAACAGCGCAGAGAAAAAGAATGAACATTTTCTGATATGGGAAAAAAAAAAACAGAATTGGAATGAGCACTTCTTGATATGAGAAATTAAATGCGTCCATGGCCTCGATGATGTCTGCCAGAGGCTCTCCCCCTCCTGCTGGCAGAGTAACAGGGCCTGCAGAGCTGCAGATGCTTCTAACACTGCTTCCAGGGTGGGAGTTGGGCTCTGCATGGTAACTGTGGGGTATGCAGGGTGCACTCTGCAGGGAGAGCCCCGATGACAGTGCAGGGGAATGGGAAACCACCTGCAGCAGCATCTGCCTTGGTCACGCTGACTCAGATGTCCACCAAACCAGACCAAAATAAAAACACATCTGAGGGATGGAATTTGGAGTACTGACCGCAGTGATCAGTGAGATCTGCTCCCGTGTCAGCCCCTTGGCTGAGCTGCTCATTGCCTCTGTGGAACAGCAGCAGGGATGGATCCCTGCATGCAGGTGCACCAGCAGTGCAGTGCAGTGCTCTGAGGCCATCTCCTCCTGGGGCAAGAGAAGTCCTTCAGGGGATGTCAGGCTGCTCCTCACCTTGCAGCATCAGGCACTCATTTAATTGATTTTTATTATTTTTAATGGGTCAAAGGACTGGGGACAAAGGAGCTAATTTCTAATCCATATTCAGTGCTCTGTATGAGCCTGTGTTACTTCCTCCTCTTGGAAATCAATTTGCGATGAAAATAACGACTCCAGCTCCTGGGTTTTGGCTCAGATTAAGAGAAGACCCTTTAAAGAACAATAATTCATTGCTCTGGGGGTGCAACTTCCCACGGTGCGGATTTTATTTAGAAGGAAAAACAAAAGTTTCTGTCTCCCGAGGTCTGCCCAGGTCCAGGACTCGGGGTTTATCGGCTCTTTTTTAACTCACCCTTCGCCTCTCCGGAGAGAAACTCCGCCCGTGGCAGCAGCAGCCTTTGCCCTCCGCGCCGCTGTAAGTTGGGGCGAATAGGTGGCGGAAATTGTAGAAAAAACGCGCTTTTTCGCCTCTTAAGAAACACAAAATGAGCGGGGAGAAGGGAGCTCTGCGCCGTGCGGCGGGGCGGGCTCTGCAAAGCACCAATCACCGCGCGGCTCCGCTCTATAAATACGAGGCCGCCGACTTGCTCCAGGCCCAGTGGTTCCCCCCGATCTGTGGACGACGGCCGTCACCATGTCGGAGACCGCGCCCGTTGCCGCGCCTGCGGTGTCTGCGCCCGGCGCCAAGGCGGCCGCCAAGAAGCCGAAGAAGGCGGCGGGCGGCGCCAAACCCCGCAAGCCCGCGGGCCCCAGCGTCACCGAGCTGATCACCAAGGCCGTGTCCGCCTCCAAGGAGCGCAAGGGGCTCTCCCTCGCCGCGCTCAAGAAGGCGCTGGCCGCCGGCGGCTACGACGTGGAGAAGAACAACAGCCGCATCAAGCTGGGGCTCAAGAGCCTCGTCAGCAAGGGCACCCTGGTGCAGACCAAGGGCACCGGCGCCTCCGGTTCTTTCAAGCTGAATAAAAAGCCGGGCGAGACCAAAGAGAAAGCGACTAAGAAGAAGCCCGCGGCCAAGCCCAAGAAGGCACCGGCCAAGAAACCCGCGGCTGCTGCCAAGAAGCCCAAGAAGGCGGCGGCAGTGAAGAAGAGCCCCAAGAAAGCTAAGAAGCCGGCGGCTGCTGCCACCAAGAAGGCAACGAAGAGCCCCAAGAAGGCTGCCAAGGCTGGTCGCCCCAAGAAGGCTGCCAAGAGCCCAGCCAAGGCAAAGGCGGTGAAACCCAAAGCTGCCAAGCCTAAGGCGGCCAAACCGAAGGCAGCCAAGGCAAAGAAGGCAGCAACCAAAAAGAAGTAAGATGACAGAAGAAATTCGAGTCTGCTCGTTTAAATAAACCCAAAGGCTCTTTTAAGAGCCACCCACTTACTCTCAAAAAGAGCTGGAATGCTGCGGGAACCGCGGTAGCACAACTAATCATCTCAGTTGCGGAGATTCAGATTTGGGCGCGCTAGTAGCAACTCGCGGGAGATAAGAGCCCCTTTATGGGCTACGTGCAGTTCGGGAGCGAGGCGCCAGCAGAGGCGCTTCCCAGCCGGGCGGGGCGGTGCCAACCTCAGGCTCCTACTTGGGGAGGGGTTTAAAGAACCCGCGCTGGGCTGTCATTGGTCCGCTTCAGCACCAACCCCCTCCCGGCACCGCCCCCGCTCCCGTCCCTTACGTCTACGGAGCCGCTCACGCTGCTCCCCCTCGTCCCCGCCTCATCCCGCCCCCGGGTCCCGGTGCGGGAACCGCCGCCTGCGCGGCTCTACGGCTGCTTTTGCCTAGGGGAGAAACAGCGTGCGGTCCTTCCCCGTCCGGTGATGGAGTGCGCGACAGGGGAAAGAGAAAAGAAAACGCTGCTGGATCGAAACAGCGATTCCTCGGGGACTGTTTTTCATCCGTTTATTAATGAATTAAATAGGGAGAAGTAAGATTACTCTTTAAGGGTGGTCTGCTACAATGTATGTAACGCGAACTTACAGCAACGCCGATTTTCTATTAGGAATGCATTTCTAGAGTAAGATAAAATATTCTTGGTATAGCTTTTATCACAAGAATCAAAAGCAAAACGAAGCACTCACCTTCCCGACGGGGTTCTGACAGCAGAGAGCAGCAGTGGCTGCTGCTGGAATACCGTGTACCCTGCTGCAGCAATAGCACAGTTACCGAGCAACCCCGTTAACTCCATGAGTTGCTACTGCTCAATTAATTAGGAACTGAGACCTCCAAAATACTCAATTAAGCGATTATTTTTTTTGTTATTTATACCTCAAGCACTCGCATTCGTTTCACTCTGTTAAAAACCTACGCTACACCCCTCAGAAGTAACACAGCCCTTTTACTAGAATAAATGGTGGCTCTGAAAAGAGCCTTTGGGTTAAAATCGAGTAATCCGCATCACTCTACTTGGAGCTGGTGTACTTGGTGACCGCCTTGGTGCCCTCGGAGACCGCGTGCTTGGCCAGCTCGCCGGGCAGCAGCAGCCGCACGGCCGTCTGGATCTCCCGCGACGTGATGGTCGAGCGCTTGTTGTAGTGCGCCAGGCGCGACGCCTCGCCGGCGATGCGCTCGAAGATGTCGTTGACGAACGAGTTCATGATGCCCATGGCCTTGGACGAGATGCCCGTGTCGGGGTGCACCTGCTTCAGCACCTTGTACACGTAGATCGAGTAGCTCTCCTTGCGGCTCTTCTTGCGCTTCTTGTCGCCCTTCTTCTGGGTCTTGGTGACCGCCTTCTTGGAGCCCTTCTTGGGGGCGGGCGCGGACTTGGCCGGCTCAGGCATCGCTACTCCTCGACAATCCCTTCGGCGCAGTGGAGTGCCGGCTGCTGGCACTGCTCACCTCTTTATAGGGGCTGTATGCAAATCTACGGCCTTCGCTATCTGCGTTCTGATTGGATAACGGAGCCCGTGACGTATCGCTCCGTACGAGCAGCTCTCTAATTGGTCCATCGCAAATCCCACTGCTACTGGCTGACAATTCAAATCCCATCAACCAATCACAGTGAGCTCTTTCAATCTCAGCTCAGCGGCGAAGCTCGGCCTCCATCCGCGGCTGGTTGTGGGCGCAGCCGGGGCCGCGCTGTGCCTCCCGCTGCCTGGGCGGGGGTAGTAGGTAGAGACAGCAGTCTCCGAGGGGAAAACAAAACAAAACGCCGGGATAAAGCTGAGAGTTTTCTCCACCTTTTTTGTTTTCCCCTCATCAAAATGAAATATACCTGAATACTTATGGAATAGCCTACACTCACAGCAGCTACAAATACATCCTGAAAAAGTATACTGGCTCTGGCATGGTCATCTTTGTTATGTGTTTTAAATAAGATCTTCTGACCTATATGGCTTGGTTTCCAGAACATTAAATGGGATGAAAGCTCTGATTTAATCAGCAAATTGAAAGAACATTGACTTTTTTTTTTTTCTTTTAAACTGTAACAAATATTGGATTCATTTCTTTCAAAGACAAAAAATAATCTTAGTAATGAAACTAAATCTGGACTTATAACTGAGTTTTGAATTCAGCATGAATCAGAAAATCAAGCCCTATTCTTGCTGAAGTTATTTCACTACCCATGAGGAAAATACAATTGTTTAAACCAGTTGAAGTGATTTTGTGGTGTGTAGAATTCTGATGTGCTTATATACACACACACGATGACAGAGAAAGTGTTATGCACTATAGTTGTAGCCTGTATTTTCAGAAAAATCACACTTACATTTTTTCTTTAAATTGTTTTGTACAAATATAAATTTTAACTATAGACTGATCTTTGGTAGAGTTATAATAAATTTTCAAAATAATTTATTTCTGATTGGAGCTAGGACTACAACACAGTTCATATCATTGCTATAATAATGCCTTTTTCTTTTGCTACCTCTGAGTCCATTCAAAGCCTGGAATTTCTGGGTATCACATGAGACAGTTGGCATAGGCCTACAGAAGAAACCCACTTGGCATACCTAAATGGAGATAAAGAGGATTAAACTGTGAAAATCACAACTAAACTTTATTCTTTAGGATTTCTAAAGTTTTCTAAAAAATTCTGATGAAAACAACACAACTGTTACCTTTTCACACTATGGCCCATTTGAATACCTACCTCCTCACATGTATGCCTTTCTTTTGGCATAAAAATAATGCAGGAAAGCACTGAGATCAGCTCTGCCAAGCTGTGGCTGCTCTCTGAGCACCTATGAACTCCTCTATGGTGTAAATGTGGCTGCGCCTTCACAGACCAGTATACATTGGGACTGCTAAGGGTGGAATAGCAGGAGAGAACTTTGCACAAATGCTGCTGGACAATACTCTTATTCTGTGGTCTCAAGTCAGAAATACAGTTCTGTCAGTGTCTATTGCCTATACACCTGAGCATCATCTTGGAATTCAAGTTTACCTTCCCAAGGCCAAGAGCTCCAGAAAAAAACAAAGAAACAATCAGAGTCCATTAATTTACAAGTAGAGACAAAAAGACTGAAGTGCAATGACAATTGTTGGAGATATATCATAGAATGGCTTAGCTTGAAGGAGAACTCAAAGTCCACCCAGTGCCATTGGCAGGGTGACCCCACCAGCTCAGGCTGCCCAGGACCCCATCCAACCTGGCTTTGAACCTCCAGGGATGGGGCACCCACAGTTTCTCTGGGCAGTCTGTGCCAATGCCTCACTGCCCTCTGAGCAAGTTATTCCCCAACAGCCAATCTAAATCTCCCCTCTTTTAGTTTAAAGCCACCCCTCCCTTGTTCTATCTCCATCTACCCATGTAATACTGATCTACTTTCTGCTTATAAGCTCCTTTAAAGTTTAGGAAGACTGCAATATGGTCACCCTGGAACCTTCTCTGGGCAGAACTAGCCAAGCCTCATCAACCTGACTTTGTTTCTGAACTTCATTTCATTTAGTTGAGTGTATTTTCATCTTGAAATACAAAGATAACAACCAAGATGTTCTGGAAACTGTTACAGAATAAGTAGATATTGAAGAGGAATACCTAGTTACTAGCACATAGCATCAGAAGTTATTAAAATATTGGAGACAAAGCACACCTTAGAATCACATTTTAAAAGCCTACTTATAAAGTTAACGGTAGCAACTATACTTCAGGAGCTTCTGACTGAAATACGAAGCATAGCTCCATTACTCTGTACATACGGCCATTTACAGGGGCAGATTCTCTATCTTGATAAGATGCCATAGCTCACATTTCCGCGTCATGAAAAAACTGTTGCAGACAGATGGATAGAAGAAAAAGATGAAAGAATAAAGGGGCAGCGGGAATTTTTCAATCATTTTCAACGTTAAGAAATGTTTACTCACTTTAGATTTCAAAAACCGAATAAGGTGATAAAATTCATTAAAGTGGTGTTTTTTAAAAATGCAGAATAAAAACTATAGAAATAAAATCACAAAAGGGATAATTTGGGAGGCTGTGGATCAACAGAACGCAGCTACTTGAAAAGAGAAAACATAAAAGTAACCAATATCACATTCTCAAAAGGACATGCAACAACCCATTCATTTTAATGGATGCATATAATGAGCCCCAAACCTCTGCCTTCATCAGCACATCAGTCTTGTAAACAAAGCCCCAGTATCTTTCCGTGAGACATAGACAAGGCAGACAATAGATTTAACCCCATCTCTCCTCCCAAAAAGAGCGGGCACCACAAACCAAAAAAAGGAAAAAACAAACAAACAAAAAACCCCAAAAGATGAGGACATAATGCTGCTGTGCCTTCCTTAACAACGACGGATTTGCACCGCCGCAACCCCCCAACTGTACAAGCGCCGCGAAATGGCGGCGGAGCTCCGAGAAGATGGGAGCGGCGCTCTGGCCCAACCGCCGCCGCCGCCGCCGCCACCGCCATTGGTTGGCATTCGCTGCAGAGCCGCGGCCGGCGGCGGCCCGCTCTCACGCCGACACCGAGTGCCGCAACAACAGCGATGGGAAGCCAGGCAGCAAAAGAAAGCAAAGAAAGGCAGGCGAGCAGCAGCGAGGCCGGACCGTAAAATCGACTCCGCAACGCACAGAGACGGCCGGAAGCGATAACTGGGCCGGCCGGAGACGCGGAGCAACACCCGCCCTCCGCCCAAAACCGGGGGAAAGACCGGAGAAGGCCCCGCCCCCAGCCCGCCCCACCCCTCTCCCCCGTCCCCTCCCCGGCGCAGTCCTCAATCAGGTCGGACCGCCGGCAATATAGAGGCGCGCCGTCGGCCGTTCCCGCCACAGCTGCTGAGGAAGATCAGTGTGTGATCATGTCTGGCAGAGGCAAGGGCGGGAAGGGGCTCGGCAAGGGGGGCGCCAAGCGCCACCGCAAGGTGCTGCGCGACAACATCCAGGGCATCACCAAGCCGGCCATCCGCCGCCTGGCGCGGCGCGGCGGCGTCAAGCGCATCTCGGGGCTCATCTACGAGGAGACGCGCGGCGTGCTCAAGGTCTTCCTGGAGAACGTCATCCGCGACGCCGTCACCTACACCGAGCACGCCAAGAGGAAGACGGTCACGGCCATGGACGTGGTCTACGCGCTCAAGCGCCAGGGACGCACCCTCTACGGCTTCGGCGGCTAAAGTAATCTGACGTTAGACTGCGCTTTTAAAACACCCCAAAGGCTCTTTTCAGAGCCACCCACGCTGTCAATAGGAGAGCCCTTATCACTGTTGTTGAGTTATGATAGTTGAGCTTGGGGGCTTCGTTGTTTTCATCGTATTCCCTGTGTGTAATAAGTTGTTCAAAGGTGAAGTGATTTCATTACACTGGAAAAAGCATTAGGGAACAGCTGTAGAGTATACTGTGAAGCTGTTCATTGGGGGGGTCGTGGGAGAAATAGGCGGCTCCGGTCCCGTCCAACATCCTCCCCAGCCAATGGCCGCTGGTAGGTCCGAGAACGTTGTGCAGTCACGTGATAAACCAGGGCATTGGCGACAGATGCTCTCTGTTCCGAGAATCATGTCAGAGCCAGCGGCTGCGGCGTACAGCCTCTGGCGGGAGACTCAAAAAGGCAGCACTTCTATCAGCGCTGTTCCGAGCGCGGGAAGAAACGCCCTTAAGCGCTTCATAGCACCTCAAATGAAGGGAAGAGGAAGGGCCCATTCGAACTGACTACCCTCCCCCCCACATTCCTTCAGGCTACAACTCCGCACAGTTCTCCGTCCCCGCCCTTATCCCCCCTACTACGCCGCTTCTGGCACGAGACAGTAACTGAAACCAATCTTCCACACACAGGAATTGCAAACGGGAAAAAAACGCAACACAGAACTCGAGACATTCCTTAACTTCCATTTCTCAATAATTGGCTCTGTTAAAAGCACCAAAAGGAGCACTGGGCACAGTGCTCTGGCACTGTACTGATCTCTATCTGGTAGTGCACTATCGCACAGTGATACAGCGCTCCCCAGTGATAATGTGGTGGCTCTTAAAAGAGCCTTTGGGTTTGGCAGAGAAAGGACAGCGGCCTCAGGCGCGCTCCCCGCGGATGCGCCGGGCGAGCTGGATGTCCTTGGGCATGATGGTGACGCGCTTGGCGTGGATGGCGCACAGGTTGGTGTCCTCGAAGAGCCCCACCAGGTAAGCCTCGCTCGCCTCCTGCAGCGCCATGACGGCCGAGCTCTGGAAGCGCAGGTCGGTCTTGAAGTCCTGCGCGATCTCGCGCACCAGGCGCTGGAAGGGCAGCTTGCGGATCAGCAGCTCCGTGGACTTCTGGTAGCGGCGGATCTCGCGCAGCGCCACCGTGCCGGGCCGGTAGCGGTGCGGCTTCTTCACGCCGCCCGTGGCCGGCGCGCTCTTGCGGGCCGCCTTGGTGGCCAGCTGCTTGCGGGGCGCCTTGCCGCCCGTCGACTTACGCGCCGTCTGCTTCGTGCGCGCCATCACACAACTTTCCCTTGCTGTTGCACGCAGAGAAGCCGCCAAGAACCTGAGCTGCTGCGTGTCCCAGACTCGCTTTTATATCTATCGCTGCATTGCCATTGGCTGAAGAAAGAACAAGTATCATTGGTCAATTTGAAAATCCCGCGTTAAACCCCTGCTGTTCTGAATGCCACTCTTCAGTAGTTAAAACCCAGCATTTCACTTTTCGGCTTCCAGTGGTTCATAAAACTTTTTCTATCTTAGCTGTCTTTCCTCGTTGCCACCTTCAGCAATAAACAGCATTCTTATACCCCTCATTTAACCTGCAGAAGAAGCAGGATATTAGCATGCAGTGAAAACAAGCCTACAGGATTGTCTTTTGTTTCGTTTTTAGTCATCAATCAAGCAGAAAGTCATAAGCCTTGTTGTATTTGAAAGATTGCTTTTTCTGCTTTCTTTTTTACTCCGAGACTACCAAATGTCTTACTCTGTGATGTTATATTCAGTTTTAGGGAAAGGTTTACTAAAAAGTCATAGGTTTTGTTTCCACTTCAACCTTAAAACTGTCATACAAGTCCGTGTTTCTAGAAGCAAATATCCTACATTATGGCGCCACAACTAACCAGAAAAGGTTATGGTGAGGAAAAAAAAATCGAAAATACTTAATGCTAAAAAGCTTACAAGCTTCTTTGCAGCCTGGTACTTGCGGAAGGCTTAGAGTTAGCCAATAAAATTCATTGCTTTTGTTAACCAATCAGAGACGAATGGGCGGGGTTTCATCTACTATAAATAAGAGCCGTGCGGGCGTGGCGTGTTTCTCTGGTCCTAAGGCAGCTGTTAAAGATGGCGCGCACGAAGCAGACGGCGCGTAAGTCGACGGGCGGCAAGGCGCCCCGCAAGCAGCTGGCCACCAAGGCGGCCCGCAAGAGCGCGCCGGCCACGGGCGGCGTGAAGAAGCCGCACCGCTACCGGCCCGGCACGGTGGCGCTGCGCGAGATCCGCCGCTACCAGAAGTCCACGGAGCTGCTGATCCGCAAGCTGCCCTTCCAGCGCCTGGTGCGCGAGATCGCGCAGGACTTCAAGACCGACCTGCGCTTCCAGAGCTCGGCCGTCATGGCGCTGCAGGAGGCGAGCGAGGCTTACCTGGTGGGGCTCTTCGAGGACACCAACCTGTGCGCCATCCACGCCAAGCGCGTCACCATCATGCCCAAGGACATCCAGCTCGCCCGGCGCATCCGCGGGGAGCGCGCCTGAGGCCGCTGTCCTTTCTCTGCCAAACCCAAAGGCTCTTTTAAGAGCCACCACATTATCACTGAGGAGCGCTGTATCACTGTGCTGGTGGTGAATGCACACTCTGTGCCCAGTGCTCCTTTTGGTGCTTTTAGCAGAACCGATTGTTGAGAAATGGAAATTGAGGAAACTCAAGTTCTAAGCTTCATCTTTTTAGAGTCCCCTGCTCTTCTAAAGGCAGTTTTCGCGAGGTTCACGATCTTAGGGATCCAAGACAGGGAAGGGGGTGAGTTCAGGGTTGGACAACGCCAGTAAAGGTTTCATCCTCAGCATCGGGAGGGAGGGGTAACCTAAACAGATTGTTCAGGGACCTGCCCCTCTCTAGTTTCCCTGGGGTGCTACGTGCACTGACGGTCGTTTTCCACTCACTTCTCCCTCTTTTTCCCCGAGCACAAAACGGACCTAAAGGATGGGAGAAAAAAATGGCACTTCATGAGCCTCCTGCCTGAGGTTGCCCTAGTTGAGACGCTGTTCATGCCAGTAGCACCTTTTACCAGGGTCCTGATCTCCCGGATCTGTTCCCTACATCCTCCAAAAAGGCTGTTAAATTCGTTACTACTAGCCCTTGCTACTCTTCCCAAGTATTCCATTACTGAGAAACTTAATGGATATTACCTGGACATAAAAGTAGACAGAGCTGTACACGAATTCAAGTGAGAACATTATTATAACAGTGATAAGGGCTCTCCTATTGACAGCGTGGGTGGCTCTGAAAAGAGCCTTTGGGGTGTTTTAAAAGCGCAGTCTAACGTCAGATTACTTCAGCCGCCGAAGCCGTAGAGGGTGCGTCCCTGGCGCTTGAGCGCGTAGACCACGTCCATGGCCGTGACCGTCTTCCTCTTGGCGTGCTCGGTGTAGGTGACGGCGTCGCGGATGACGTTCTCCAGGAAGACCTTGAGCACGCCGCGCGTCTCCTCGTAGATGAGCCCCGAGATGCGCTTGACGCCGCCGCGCCGCGCCAGGCGGCGGATGGCCGGCTTGGTGATGCCCTGGATGTTGTCGCGCAGCACCTTGCGGTGGCGCTTGGCTCCCCCCTTGCCGAGCCCCTTCCCGCCCTTGCCTCTGCCAGACATGATCACCCACTGATCTTCCTCAGCAGCTGTGGCGGGAACGGCCGACGGCGCGCCTCTATATTGCCGGCGGTCCGACCTGATTGAGGACTGCGCCGGGGAGGGGACGGGGGAGAGGGGTGGGGCGGGCTGGGGGCGGGGCCTTCTCCGGTCTTTCCCCCGGTTTTGGGCGGAGGGCGGGTGTTGCTCCGCGTCTCCGGCCGGCCCAGTTATCGCTTCCGGCCGTCTCTGTGCGTTGCGGAGTCGATTTTACGGTCCGGCCTCGCTGCTGCTCGCCTGCCTTTCTTTGCTTTCTTTTGCTGCCTGGCTTCCCATCGCTGTTGTTGCGGCACTCGTTGTCGGCGTGAGAGCGGGCCGCTGCCGGCCGCGACTCTGCAGCAAATGCCGCTCCCATCTTCTCCCCGGAGTTCCGCTGCCGCCATTTCGCGGCGCTTGTACAAAGGTGCCCAATCCCCCCCCCCTTTTTTTTTTTTTCTCTCGTGGGTCCCTACTGCTATACTACTACTTCATCTTTAACATTTTTCCGAAGTAATTTTTCGGTGCTTTTCCATTGATTTATCGTATTTACATTTCATTCTTTGTTATTTTTCTTCCCCTTCTTTTGAACTCAACTGTATCTCGGATACTGTGAGACTTCTTGCTTCTTCCCACGTTTTCAAATTGCTCTGCAAGAATGTTCTGAAAAGCCATTAAATCGTGTCTACTTTGTTATGTTGCATGAGACTGCATATTTTTCTTACATCCTATAGGTTTTTTGAAGTCTTTGGGATTTCCATTAAGTTTGGAAAGTTACATACATATTATGTAATTTACCTATTAGTAGATTTAGTCTTGCTTAATAAATTGATTTATAAAATTTGAGAATAAAAGTATTGATTGATACATATTTTTCCCCTCGCTTGCTGTTTACAGAATAAATGCAGTAGAACAGAAAGCTTCATAATGTTTCTGTGTTGAGTGTATTGTTCCCCACCTATCATTCCTCTCACTATTTCATATGCTATACTTTTCCCTGCATGTGGTCAGCGTGTTTCTCCCTACACTTGTGCACGCACAAAATAAATCTTTTGTTCTTCTTGGCTGCTGAAAATATTTCTTTTTCCTATCTCACGTGGTATAACTCTTTTCAATCATGACTGACTTGTTTGTTTCTCGTTGCACATCTTTTTTTTTTTTTTTTTTATAGCTTTGCTTTCATTAACCTAATAACCTTGAACGATTTAGATGTTATTCGTACTCTAGGTATGCATGTCTCCAGGCAAACATTTTCCTGCACCTGTTTTGAGTTAATGGGAACACGTGTCTGCACCACAACCCACCTTACCCACTTTTCATACCCAATGTGGCTGAATGCTTCTTGGCCAAATGGTTGAAATCTCTTTTAGCATCAGTTTCTTACTTCTGTTTGATTCATAAGAATCCTTTTCTCTCCTCTCTCTTCTGAACATTTATTTTGTGTATTATTTTCTTTTTTTCAGGAAGTTTAGCCTTTTCTTAATTTTGTATTCTTTTTCTCAGTATCAAATTTCCCTAAGGAAATTGCCAACTTCTTATCCTTGTCCACATTTTGATTGTGACAACCAAACTGCTAACAACAGAATTCATGCCTGACCTACAATAACCAATTAAACAAAACAAAACACAATAGTTCAACTACTAATGCATGGATTTTTGTTACAATCAGTTTTAAACAATCTGTGCAGATATGATAGTACTGTGGAGGGAGGTACAACAGATTGCTGCATTATGCTGTTGAATAACTTGAGAAGTATGTTTTGTCTTTCTTATTTGGGAAATTCAAGTTTTGTTCACCCAATTGTATCCACACACTGTGACATGGAGTTTCTGTTTTTACTTCAGTATGATGTATGTGCACTGTGTCTTTCTTTCACTGCCAGCTGTAGTTGCAGAATATAAATGAATACTACTGATGTGTTAGGACACTGCTCACCATAGCTAAAGTCAAACCAAAGGGTAGGGCACACTCCCTACTTACAGGAGGTCCAGTGTCTCAGTGTTCTGAAAAGCAGAATGCATTGCTGAGAAACCTGCATTTATTACATTTTGAAGTATCACTTCACCTTGTCTTTGTTTTATCCTACAGCCTGTGCTTATCCTTTTCTCCTGGTCGCTCGTTTGTGTGGATTTTGATACTCATAAAACCAACAAATTTCTATTAAGCTTATTGATTACTTTTACAATTAATCTTTTCCTATTAGCTGAGACAGAGTGGAAGGATGATGAGTGCTGTTCTTTTCCTCCTAATCTTCCCATGTGACAACCAACATTTCAAGGAGACTTAAAATGAGGTGAAATTAAAAACTTGTTTTCTTTCCACAGATCTACTTTGAGGTTCTGAGGAAACTTGTTTAGGTGTTGCCTTCAAGGAGGTAAGGATCTGCTAGGAGATTTGTTCTCATATGTCTTTTCAATTTGTTTGGAGAATTAAAATCAACTTACACAGTCTTTGTAGCGAGTTCCTGTTTTTAATCAGCTGAGAAAACTGTTATAGAAGAGTTGCAGTCTGGAGATGATGGATTTGCCTTGCACTAAGGTAGAAGCTTGTGATAAATGTGCTACAGTGTTTTCCTGATAAATCTGCCAAGGAAAGAAATAAAGGCTGCAGCAGCTTCCCAGGGAAATGTGAATGTTCTCAAAGTATAATCACATTAAATGTGGAGGGCCAAGTAAACACGGAGATGAACTTTTGCCTGAAGTAACAATAACTGTGATGAAAAACACAGCAAAATACCTTAATGCATGCAAACAAACAACAACTATGTCAATTAAAGCAGCACACAAAAAAATTACTGCTCTGTGAATCTCAGTGGAGAACCAAAGATGTCAGTCTCCCTGTAGACCATCAACTTCCACCTGTGCACAGGTCATCTTCCATGGAACAGATCTGCAGGCAAGGGTGGTGGTTACCCCTCAATATAAAAGAGAATCCTATATGTTGAACCTCAGTCATCTCCTAGATTTCTGCTAGAATGAGTTTTGGTCAGCTCAGCCCTTGTTTCTGCTCTCGTTCAGGTGCAGAATCCTGATGGACCTGGTGCATGGACTGACTTCTCCTTATGGGTCTGTTTGTCTGTATGGGTGCACAACAGCATTTCTTCTCAGCTGAAAATTTACCTTTGGCCTCTACCTGAAGCTGCGTGCTGAAGACCTTCACTGCTACCTTCACTGCTATATTCTAATTAATTTCTCTTCAGGTGAAAAATGCAAATTCTTATGCCATGTGGATCATGTCAGCTTCTACCACAAGGACTATGCAATCCATCTCTGGTAAGTACTTACAAGCCTCACTAAAATCTCTCTGTGCTGGTCTGTCTTAATAGTTCTTTAGGGACTGCATGATGATCTCAGGGGTCTTTTCCAAACTTTATGATTCTTAGATTCAAAATGTGCTTAAATCTAATATGACAATTGCTGTTGGAATTCTCCCCATTTTAAAAAGCTTAGGAACTTCTCCAATGTAGCTGTAAAGTCCTTCAGCATTTGGCAGCCTTAACAAAAACAGCAGGTGTCTGGAACCAGTGAGTTGTGTGAACTTCATTGCCCACACAGACTGAAGGACACAGTTCATAGAAGCACTGGGTTGGAAGGGACTCTTAAAGGTCATCTGATCCAACTCCCCAGCAATGAACAGGCTCACTACCACTAGGTCAGATGCTCATAGCCCTCCCAGGCTGACCTTGGGTGTCTCCATGGATGGGACATTCACCACCTCTCTGGGCAACCTTGTCAGTGCCTCACCATCCTGACTGTAAAAAAAAAGACAAACAACCCTCTTCTATCCAATCCAAATCTTTCCTCTGTTAGTTTGGAACCATTTCCCCTTGCAAACCCTGCAGAAGAGTCTGTTCCCTTGTTTTTCTGCATGACCTTTACAGCATTCGTATCTTGGGCTCTCCAAACTTGAGGTGCTTTGGCGGTTACTATACACAAAAATGTTCAGCTTCTTTAGACCATAGCTTTCAGTTTCGCTGTCTGTCCTCCCACCCTGTCCCTGATCCTTCAGATGCATAATGCTGCTATCTTTCACCTTCACTGCAACCTACAGGTTGATCATAATGAAAGCATCCTGTCACACATGCAAACCATAGATGGTGATCTGTTTCTTCAATGCTCCAGAACCACTGCAAGGAAACTCACTGTCAACGATCAGCAGAAGAGGAACAGAACGCTCAACATAGGATACTGTATCTCTGTGCCATGGCAGCGCTGTGTAAAATAGTTACAGTGTGAGTGCTGTGCCTGTTGGATGGAATTTTGTCTCCACTGACTTCTTCCAAACGAAGTGCTGAAGGTGATGAGCGAAAAGGTGAGGTTGGCTCCATCTCTCCCCTCTACAGAAATGACTCCTGAAGAATGCGTCCGCTTGCATAATGGTGACCACTTCCTATTGCTGAGGTTAAAGAATTATCGTAACTTTCAAACTTCCAGGTTGGTCTCTGGTGCTGTCACCTGCCATCCTATGTACATTCTTGAAGGTTTAGTGTGCAGTCAGGCATTGAGTTTTCTTGTACAGAAAGAACAAGGGAGAAATGCTTTGATGAGAGCAGGCTCTTTGCAGAAGTGGTTTATCAGGCAGCTTGCACTGCTATTCATTCCCAGCTGTAGAGGCCACGGTAAGAAAACAATATTTGGTAACAGGGAAAAGTGATAACCCTGATTGCCCCTTGGCTGTTTATCCCATACAGTAGCCACAACGTAGAGAAACTGTAGATTAAGTAACACCGACAGCCAGTCCCAGCAGCACTGGAACTATTCAGAGAGAATTTTTGAAGATACAAGGAGTAAAGAAAGAGGCACAATGAATCAGCTGCATTTTACATCACTCAGCATTTTTGTTGCCATTGCATATGTTTTTAATCAGCCGAGATAACTGTTACAGAAGCAGAGCTTTTTTATTTTCCATATCAATGCAGTTTCTGCTGCTCTTGTACAGCTGTAAAGTAACTGGCTCTGAGACACCAATCTCTCCATTCATATTTCATGAATGTGGGCATCTCAGCCTCTGAAGTTGTGTGGAGTCGTGATTTTCTTTCATGTTTCCCTATGTCTAACTTGATCGTGCACTACGTACCTGAGAGTAATCAACAGCAATGTCAGTGACTTGTTTTTGTCTCTTTTGGTGCCTAAGCAGTTGGTTTTCAAAGGAACTTGAGCAGGAATGTACTGATGATATCATCCAGGAAGTTTCTCCACATTACACCAGATTTGAAAATATTTCTAATTGATTATATTTTTACTTACAGAAAGGTAATACAGGAAAAGGAAATCAATATTTATGTGAAGGGGCTTGAGAGTAGCCTATGAAAAGTTTGATGAGCATTTATCCATTGTATAAAATGTCACAGTCACAGAGTCAAATAAGTTTTACTCAGTTTAATAGAATTACCCTCAACAACAGAGAATTCATTCTCTCTCTCTCTCTCTCTCTCTCTCTCTCTCTCTCTCTCTCTCTCTCTCTCTCTCTCTCTCTCTCTCTCTCTCTCTCTCTCTCTCTTTATCTATGCATACACATATTTGAATTAGGCAAATGATCTCACTTACATACTTGGTAAATACCACAACCCAAAGGAACTTTTCCTCCTGAAAGGCAGTAGAAAAAAAAAATCATACCTGCATTTAAGACCATGAAGGATGGCTTAGTAGCACAGAAATTTGGAAAATATCTTTATGCTCTCCAGAGGGGTCCTATTACAGAGTAATCAAGCAACTTTTTCAATAAAAGTGTGCATCTTTCTGAAGGAAAAGACTAGTCATATATATAGTCTATACACTATTGTTATTATACACTATTTGTGATACTTAACAAAAATGTGAATATTCCATTATTACTCCACTGTTGTTTTTTTGTTTTTTTGTTTGTTTGTTTTTCTACATTCTAGGTAATGTTTATGTAACTGTAGTTTCTTTTTCTTTTTCTTTTTCTTTTTCTTTTTTTTTTTTGATATAATTTCAATTATTTTCTTTATGAAAAAACAAAAATCTATGAAGAAAGTACAGGGACTGATGCAACAACAGGTTGAATAACATTCTCTGAAGCCAGTCTATCTGAGAGAAAGCATCACCCAGGTGAGTACATTTGAACAGAAGTTTATATTTTGTGTGGACTCAAAGGTCTAAAGACTCGGTGTGTTTGTGACATGACATGCTTTTGTTGTTCCATGACTACCAACACCTGTGATGCACTCTTCTTAAACCAAAATGTTCCTCTTGTATGTAGAAAAATGTTTGATATGTAGCAATATGTTTTGACCCAGGCACACTCCCATCATTCAGCAACCAAAACACTGGTGTGCAATTAACACTGTTTTGGCTGAAACTGGGATGTTTTAATAAATAGTATTTTTTAAAATGCCATGAAAATCTTATATCTGTGGCACGGAAAGCAAGAACAGCTGGAAGGAAGCCAGGCTCTTTGCCAGGCAGAAAGATGGCTGTAAGGCAGAGAACAACACATCAGTTGGTGAATAACCCTGACCAAGCAGAAATAGCATTTAGTGAAGATGACAGAGATTACGTTAAGAAATCACAGCACAGAGCTTCTGCTGGGGGAGACGTGCAGCGGCCGCTTTGCTTTCTTTCCTTGCCCTATTCCTCGGGAGGTGCCTTCTGAGAACAGAGATCCCGAGCAGCAGTCTCCAGATGGCCCCTCCTACGGGCACAGGATGGCTGTGAGGCTCGAAGTGGCCAAGTAGAAATGTAATGATCTGGAGGGCAGAAGACTTGCAGAAAAACCCAGCGGAGCGTGTAACAGCCACCCATAGTATAAGAAAAGACAGCCAGTAGCGTCCAGTTCAGAGCGGTGTATGAAAAGCCCGTGAAGTGCATAGAAAATTACGCAGTGAGGGAAAGTGCAGCACATTTGTTATGAACTCGTGATCCACCGTCACCCTAATGTTTCTGTGCCCATTACCACCCGAGCAGCCCATGCTGTACTTGGTAAACACACTTGCGCAAGAGGTGGAAGGGCAAGAAAACACCACCCCGCCCACAGGGCACCGGGAACCGCTTTCCGCGCGGACCCAAACGAGATGCGCGCCACCTCCGAGGCGGTTCAAAAAACGCGCGCTCCGCTCCGATTGGCCGCCACAAGAGAGGGGCGGGACTTTGACCCTTGTGAGTCGCGCGGTGAGGGCGCGCCGCCTGCCCCGCTGCTTCCAAGCGTGGGGCAGCGGAAGGAGAAGCGGGGGGGCAGATACTGGCTGTACTTCATCGGTATCTTTACTACTTTTATTGATTTTCAGCAAAAATTAACTGTAGCTTCCAAGCAGAATAGACTTATGTTATCAATAATGAGAAGTTGGCACTTGGTGATCGCTATAAATACGATTCTAGTTAGAGTCAGTTTCCAAAGAAACAGAAAGCTGGTATTTACACTGACGTGTTCCTGCTCTTTTTAGGAAAGTGTAGGTGGCTCTGAAAAGAGCCTTTGGGTTGTTTACTTTTACAGCTTCACTTGGCCTTAGCCTTGTGGCTGTCGGTCTTCTTGGGCAGCAGCACGGCCTGGATGTTGGGCAGCACCCCACCCTGCGCGATGGTGACCTTGCCCAGCAGCTTGTTGAGCTCCTCGTCGTTGCGGATGGCCAGCTGCAGGTGGCGGGGGATGATGCGCGTCTTCTTGTTGTCGCGGGCCGCGTTGCCCGCCAGCTCCAGGATCTCGGCCGTCAGGTACTCCAGCACGGCCGCCAGGTACACCGGGGCGCCGGCGCCCACCCGCTCCGCGTAGTTGCCCTTGCGCAGCAGCCGGTGCACGCGGCCCACGGGGAACTGCAGCCCGGCCCGCGACGAGCGCGACTTGGCCTTGGCGCGCGCCTTCCCGCCCTGCTTCCCGCGGCCAGACATATCGCAGTCTGCAAGTCAGCCAAAAAGTAATCGACAACGCAAACAGAACGCCAGGAGAGTCGAAAGAATTCAGGAGCAGCTGAGTACCGTCCTTTTATCCCTTCCTGCTGGGGTCGTGCGGAACTTTTGATTGGAGGAGACGGCGATTGTGGAGTTAGCCAATGGGAACAGCGATAGAAAACCGACCAATTGAACACCGCGAGTGATTTTGACGTCACGGTCCAAAGATGTCCAATGGGAAGGAACGACCTCTAATCCCCTAATTTGCATACCGCCTCTATAAGTATGGGCTGCGGCGCCATTGTACCTGCGTCGATCCTGCGGTACAGGCAGCGGCGGGCGTGTGCGATGCCGGAACCAGCGAAGTCGGCTCCTGCCCCTAAAAAGGGCTCCAAGAAGGCTGTCACCAAGACCCAAAAGAAGGGCGACAAGAAGCGTAGAAAGACAAGGAAAGAGAGCTACTCGATCTACGTGTACAAGGTGCTGAAGCAGGTGCACCCCGACACGGGCATCTCGTCCAAGGCCATGGGCATCATGAACTCGTTCGTCAACGACATCTTCGAGCGCATCGCCGGCGAGGCGTCGCGCCTGGCGCACTACAACAAGCGCTCGACCATCACGTCGCGGGAGATCCAGACGGCCGTGCGGCTGCTGCTGCCCGGCGAGCTGGCCAAGCACGCGGTCTCCGAGGGCACCAAGGCGGTCACCAAGTACACCAGCTCCAAGTAGAGTGGTGCGGATTACTCGATTTTAACCCAAAGGCTCTTTTCAGAGCCACCCATGCTTTCAGTAAAAGAGTGGTTCACAGATACGTGGTGGTGAGTGGTGCTGCTATTTCATATTGTTTTTGGTAGTCAGTGTGGGCTGATCTGATTAATGATGGGAAAAAAAAAATGCTTACTGCTTATGCTTCACATGTTAAAATCTGAATGTGGTGGTTTTTTACATGACATAAAGGAACTGAGTAAGAGAAATATGTACAGATTTTATGATATTCAAATCAATTTATTCACCTAATAAGCATTCCTCTGACAATCATTTCCATTCCAAATTTTAAGCAGGTAGAGGCACATACATGTGGATGTTGTCTTTCTGCTTTGAAATAAAGCAGCCTTTGTTACAACTACAGTCCTATGCTGCATTCACATCATTCCTATTGACGTCCCCACTAAGCACTGTCACCTTTTCCCAGGGACCTGGTCGTGGGTAACAGTAGTTGTGTGACCCAAAGAGTCTCCATAGAGACAGCGCAGTGTTCATGACTTCTGCTAGACAATGATGCTCCATATTTATCATCTCCTATGTAGGGCTGTGCAAATGGTACTGGGTATTACTTAAACGAGCCAGAGTTTTGTAATGATGTGGCGTAGTTTGCTTTCCTCTCTAAATAAATAACAGAAGATCGGCTGGAGACAGAGGGGTGCATTAATCTAGTGCACACATTGATAGGTGTACATAAATATATATATATATTTAAGAGAAAAAGTGAACGAGAGCTGCTTATGAAATGCGGGTGATAAGGAGAAGGCTGGTTTCGGAGAGAGCCTTTTACGCAGGCGCTCGCACCCTGGCTGCGGGACAGATGGCCGCGTTCCGCTATGCTGACGGAAGGCTGCGATCGCGCCGCTCCCCGAGAGCTCCGCCGCAGGGGGCGGAGGGCACAAACCGAGGGCGGAGCTGCCTGCGGAGGGGCGGGGACAGCGGAGCGGGAAAGCGCCGTTACCTGCGGAGCAGCGCGGGCTTTTCAAATCCTGCCTCTGCCCAATGGGGTGGCAGTCTCCAAGCCAACCAATCAGAGCGCGCCCTTGTCTATAAATACGGGGTCTCGCAGCCGCTTCTGCAGTTTCCTTTCTCATTGCCGAGGCGCTGTTTGGGGAAAATGGCGCGCACGAAGCAGACGGCGCGTAAGTCGACGGGCGGCAAGGCGCCCCGCAAGCAGCTGGCCACCAAGGCGGCCCGCAAGAGCGCGCCGGCCACGGGCGGCGTGAAGAAGCCGCACCGCTACCGGCCCGGCACGGTGGCGCTGCGCGAGATCCGCCGCTACCAGAAGTCCACGGAGCTGCTGATCCGCAAGCTGCCCTTCCAGCGCCTGGTGCGCGAGATCGCGCAGGACTTCAAGACCGACCTGCGCTTCCAGAGCTCGGCCGTCATGGCGCTGCAGGAGGCGAGCGAGGCTTACCTGGTGGGGCTCTTCGAGGACACCAACCTGTGCGCCATCCACGCCAAGCGCGTCACCATCATGCCCAAGGACATCCAGCTCGCCCGGCGCATCCGCGGGGAGCGCGCCTGAGCTCCTGGAAGAGAATCTGACTATCGAAAACCCAAAGGCTCTTTTAAGAGCCGCCACAGGGCCAGTAAAAAGAGCTGTAAACTCTTAAATCTTTTGAGGGTTTACTGCTGCACGTGTTGCGGGTAGCCTTTTGTTGACCAGTTTCTAAGGTAAGTGCTAAGGGAAGTATTGCCGTGTTTTTAAGAGGTTGAGAGGGAAGTTTGCGTCGATTAAATGCTTTGTCAGTGACTGTGTGAAGGTCCGTTGGTAAGAAAAGCTCAGTTTTATGGATCTAATGAATAGACTTGCTTTTCTGGTACCATTGGAAAAGGTTTTTGAGAACTTCGATAAGCTAAAAGCAAAATGCCTCACTTCTAAAAGCCGGTATTCCTTAACGTAATGGTCGCTTAAAACGGTCACTTATGTTTAAATGCAATTCTGTATTCACTGTTCCCTTCCTCGATTGCAGTATGTTGCAAGTCAAGTATGTAGTTCATTGCCCACGTTATTCTGTAACTTCTATTGCCTTGTGCTCAAAGCGTTAAGAGTTTATTAATCCTACAGTTAAAAATAGTGCCTTTAATTGTGAAGTAGCACAGAGTCCAGTTTCCGTAGCTGCCCATTCCTGCATGGGTGCTTTGCCACACGTGGGCTGACCATTCTTCTTGTAAGCAAGTCCCTCTCGTCAGTCTCTGGCCCTACTGAAGTGCTTTTAGTTTACGTTTGAATCCAACACAACAATTCCTGGCAGAGCATGGTACTCAATGACTCCCGTACACCTACGTGCGTAACGAGGTTTCTGCCTGACTGCCACTCTGCCATGCAGTTCCTTCACATCCTACCCAGAAGTCGTATACCTGTTATAAAAAACACAACTTCCCAACCCATTTCTAATTTCCTGTTGCATCTTGTGTTTCTTGCTTAACACAGCACAGCCCTCCTTATGTCCATGTAATGCCGGGAGATCCCTGCTCTGCCTGATCGAATTGGTTCTGCAGTGCTGCATGGAAATAGGTGAGATGCAGTTCTCACTTCTGTGATCGAACACAGACGAGGAGGATTGCTTGGAGGGAACAGATATTTTTTCAAAGCTTCATGCAGTGAGTCATGGGTTTTGTGGTGTGGGGGTTTTTTTTGTTTGTTCCCCTTCTGTGTAATTGCTGATACATTTTGTTTCAGGAAATATTCCTTCCTCTGTTTCAGGAACTTTGGGCTCTGCAGCAAAATCTGACCAATCGCATTCCTCGGTGCTCCATTTTCTTTCCTGTTTTTTTCCTTCCTTTCAGCCATTTTCTGTTTTACTCAGCGCAGTAACCTGGGGGTGGGGTGAGATTCTGGGGTAGATCTCAGAAGAACACTTTGGAAAACTTGATCAGATTATGAGCAGTTTTATTCCCCCCCCCCAATATTTATTGACATAAGATCTGTGCTTTCTGAACAGATTTATACATGGTTTTTTCCTTTGTTGTTTTTTTTCCCCCTGTGGGTAATTACTATCATGCTTGTAGAAGTGAACTGTAGCAAAACGCAATGAATTTCCTGTTTCTCTCTGTTATACAAAGGGATCCATTAGTTACCAAAATCTCTTTATCAGAATGTATTTACAGTAAATTCCGTGGTAAGACTGAAGCATGGCAAGCAGAGTGCATTTGTAATGTGTAATGGACACTGAATATGTTATACAGGCTGCATAAACAGTTACATTTTAGTACAAGTTTGGGCAAAAATGATAAAAATGATGCTTTTTTTTTTTTCTTTTTTTTTTTCTTTTTTTTTTTCTTTTTTTTTTTCTTTTTTTTTTTCTCCTTTTGTGTGTTTGAGGAGAAGGGAAGCTGGGTTTTATTGACTGGGATTACTTTGAGTCTGATTCTGAGAGTTACATTTCTAAATAATAATAAAAAATACTTAACACTTGAGCAGTTGACAAGGAAGTAGACATGCAAGGGTTTTGCAGGAAGAGTAAAATCATATGATCCCTGAATTTGCAATTCCTGGGCCTGAAAAAAATCTGGTATTTAACATAGAAGAGCACTGATGGCAATAATAATCTGTCAGAGATTCTGTCTCCAGAAAATCAAACTGGCAGTCAGGAAAAATTTACTGCATGGAATTTGAAGTAACAACTGCAGTGGTGATACCAGGAAGCACAGCAGGCTGACTGCAAATCTCCACTGGGCTTTGCTCTTTCCTCCTTACATAAGTGATGAATCCTATCAGCTTGTGTGTGATGCTGATTTAGTAAGCTGTAAAAGAGCAGTAACAGATCAGACAAAGTTAGGATAAAAATACATCTGCTCAGTGCAATACTTGGCTGAGAGAAATCCTGGCTGTTTTGCCACCCTCCGTGAGTGGTCCAGAGCCCTGTTGATATGATGAATTAAATCACTGCTGGGATGAATCAGTCCAATGGGCAGCATCACCACTGAGGCCTTCCTGGTGAATTTTTTCCACTTTTATTAGAAATGCATAAGCCCAGATTATATATATTTATATATAGGTATTTATAGATATATATATTTACATATAGATATTCGAATCAGCCATACTTCAGGTGTTTATTAATTTAGAAAAAGTTCTAAACAAAAGCTTTTTCCATATGAAAAGAGTGGTGGGTTTTGTTTTTGTGTTTTTCTTTTTTTAATTGAGCATTGTAATGTAAAATTAGTGCAAAGGGTGGTATTGTTTCTCTCCAAAGAATCAGAAGTAACTTCAGCTGAGTGGAAGCATCTTGTAGATTGTAGATGTAACAAATATTGAAGAGGTGCAATATAGGCTGGTTTGTTTAGCTATGTACTGTGCTAAGTCTGTGCCGAAAGTGCTGATGCACACGTGCAGATGAAATACAGACAAAATATCCAACAAGTTGTTAAGTTTGCCATATGTCCTGCTCTCAGCTTTCTTTACACTTTATCCCAACTCAATCTTTGAGGGTTCCAACATCTTTGCATACCTACCCCATGTCATGAATGTTCGAGACAGTTATGAGCATCTTGTTCTCTCTGCATTTTTGCATGTTACCCTGAGCACAGGACACACATCCAACAAAGCTGTACAAAGTGCTGTTCCGCAGTAGCATCATCCTATGAGGCATCTAAGGAGGAAATTGTTTCAGCAGACATCAGAGATAACTTTCAATAAATGTTGAGCTTTAAATAAAAACTGTAGGACTAAGGTATATTCCCATAGATTAGCATCTATCCATGTATTAGTAAAGCATGGATACAACCCTTTTTTTTTTTTTCTCTTCTTTCCACTAATTAACATATGATGTCTTTTGAAATTGAATGTCATTTTTCTTTGTTGTGCCAGTTCTTCCCATCAGTTCTGAGCAGGGCTACACAATATAATTTTTGTTTTGTTCATAAGGAAAACAACAGTTCCAGAAAATAAACTATGCTCATTTGCATGAACTTGTTCCTTTCCAGTCCCTGCAGAGATGGTTTTAAAAGTTTGCAAGGGGTAATGACACAGGTGCCAAAGGAAATGAATGGAACATCAGTGTTTTTCTCCCTGAGACTACTGTGATAATCTCAGTGCAAGACAACACGGAACAGAAGCCTCACCAGACAAAACAACTCTGCATCCAACGCTAGAACTGTGGTTGTTCAGTCTGGAGAAGAGAAGGCTCAGGGGAAACATTATTCCTCTCTACAACAATCTAAAAGGAGGCTGTGGTGGGGAGGGATCAGCCTCTTTTCCCAGGTGACAGTGAAAGGCCCAGAGGGAATGACTTTAAGGTGCTCCAGGGGAGGTTCAGATTGGATATTAGGAACAATTTCTTCTCAAAAAGAGTGATGCTGCAGTGGCACAGGCTGCTCAAGGAGGTGGTGGAGTCACTGTCCCTGGAGGCATTACAGAATCCTGTGGATGTGGCACATGGTTGGTGGGGATGGGCTGATGATTGCACTAGATGACCCCAGGGATCTTTTCAAATCTAATGATTCTATAAATCTGGAAAACTTATTCTTTGCCCGAATAGAAAGTTGTGCTGTTAATAAACTTCATCAAGTTGGATGCCCTGGGAATTGCGCTGAGACCGCAGAAGAGACATTTGAGAATACACTGTATTTGGAAGACTAGAGCACTTCCAGTTGCCGCTACTTCGTATCCATCTGCTCCCCCCTCTCCTTCTTCCCTCCCTTCCTCCCTCCCTTCCTTCTTTTTTGTTCTTTTAAACCACATCTTAAATAACATTTAATAGTTACCATTTACCAGATACTTAATTGAAATTACAGTTTAAACTTTCCCGCAACTCCCAGTACTGCCCTGATGTGTCTGCAAAACTCCACTCCTCTGCTGCAGCTCAGATCCCACTTCTGTCCCCTGCAGGGGTACAGCAGAGCTCACACAGCTCCCTGAGATCCTCCCAGGAGCTCCTCCCGGTGTTTTGCTGCTGTGGAGAAGGTGATTTCTTATCTTCTCTCTTTTCTGAGGCACATTTCCATCACTGCTGCATGAACGTATCACTGTTACAAATGGCTTCATATATCTTGTTCCACTGTCTTGGCAATGTGGGAGCATTGTCATGCAGAAAAGCTGTTTTTGTTTCTTTACAAACTCTGTGGGAGTTATATTTTTTGAACAATTGGACTGAAAAAAAAAATTATATATATTTATGTATATACATATATATATATTCAACTACAGCCAAAATTTTCCCCTCAAATCCCATTATTATGGTTCTACAGTGAGACAAATATTTTCTATGTTGGGCAGTAAAGTTCATTAGTTTCTGTAAGTCGTCTTTACCCATCAAAGTCAGTAAAATTAAAATAATAGAATACACTTCTGTATTTTATTGCTAAGTGCACACACACAAAAGAAAAGAAAAAAAAAAAAAAAGCATTACTGTATTAATCAGCATATATTTAGTGAGGAGATAAAGGATGTATGTGGTAATGTTCTGAAAACTCTGCCTCCCCTCACATGTTAAGGAGCAGAGCGGCAAGGGGCTCTCGTGTCTTCAGCAGGAACAGCCCTGAGATAAACGGCTCCTCCCACACTGCGATCCCTTCTATCTGGGATGGGGGTTCTGGAGGCTCTCTGCGGCCACGTACAGGTAAAAGTATGACAGGTATATAAATGCTTGTTATATGCTGGAAAAAATACCCATCGCGTTCTAACCCACACAAAGGAAATTCATGGAACATTTGAAGAAGAAAAGGACGTTTTTATGCGTGGCTAAGGATTTCTGTCTCTTGGTCTCTTAAGAAATACATAGGATTCACTGACAGGAAGAAGCCGAAGGGCGAATAGGAATGAGCTGGCACAGATTAATGAATCTGAGAGATAATTCTTTCCAGAAAAGCATTAACACGCGTTCTTAAAGCATAACATGAGGCAGCCAAAGCAGAACAGAAGCCGGAAAGGACGATCAGGGGCGGAGCGGCAGCGTGGAGTCTGATCCCCGATTGGCCAAATTTTGCCGCAGACCCCGGGGCAGCAAAGGCGGGGAACGGGATGCGGGACGGGAGCGCCGGACCCCGAAGCGCGACTCCCGCAACAGCCCCCCGTGGAGCCCAGGATCCATCATAGAATCATCACCCTCACGGGGGGGGGGAGGAAAAGGGAAAGGAAGGAACCGGGTGGCACCTAAAGCCCAGTTGATCCTGGCCGGCGACAAGCAAAGCCCGAGGCACGAACTGGGTGAAGCACCTTGGAAAAAATAGCATCCCGCCGCCTCGCTGCCACCCGCCCTCGGGAAGCGCTCGCTGGGGCGCGCGGGTGGAAAGGGCGGAGATTGCGGCGAGCCCCGCCTCCCTTCGCCCGCCGCAGTTCTCAACCAGGTCGGCTCCCGCGCCATATAGCGCCACTCGGCGGAGTCCACGGCGCGCAGTGTGGTCTGCGGCGGGAGTGGTAGTATGTCTGGCAGAGGCAAGGGCGGGAAGGGGCTCGGCAAGGGGGGCGCCAAGCGCCACCGCAAGGTGCTGCGCGACAACATCCAGGGCATCACCAAGCCGGCCATCCGCCGCCTGGCGCGGCGCGGCGGCGTCAAGCGCATCTCGGGGCTCATCTACGAGGAGACGCGCGGCGTGCTCAAGGTCTTCCTGGAGAACGTCATCCGCGACGCCGTCACCTACACCGAGCACGCCAAGAGGAAGACGGTCACGGCCATGGACGTGGTCTACGCGCTCAAGCGCCAGGGACGCACCCTCTACGGCTTCGGCGGTTAAACACCCGTTGCATACGTAACACTGTTAAAACACCAAGGCTCTTTTCAGAGCCACCCACACATTCACAACGAGAGCTGTTTATTACTCAAGCATCATTGGTGAAAAAAAACACGTCTTGCTAATTTGTTCTGTGAAATACAGCTCTTGTCCACAAGAGGGGGGAAAAAAAGCCTGCAATTGCAGCTCTTTATAAGAAAACTTGGGGGCTCTGAAAAGAGCCGTTTGGGTTATAGTTTAACACCTTATTTGGAGCTGGTGTACTTGGTTACCGCCTTGGTGCCCTCGGAGACCGCGTGCTTGGCCAGCTCGCCGGGCAGCAGCAGCCGCACGGCCGTCTGGATCTCCCGCGACGTGATGGTCGAGCGCTTGTTGTAGTGCGCCAGGCGCGACGCCTCGCCGGCGATGCGCTCGAAGATGTCGTTGACGAACGAGTTCATGATGCTCATGGCTTTAGACGAGATGCCCGTGTCGGGGTGCACCTGCTTCAGCACCTTGTACACGTAGATCGAGTAGCTCTCTTTCCTCGCTCTCTTTCTTTTCTTGTCACCTTTTTTCTGGGTCTTAGTGACAGCCTTCTTCGAGCCTTTCTTGGGTGCTGGAGCGGATTTTGCTGGCTCAGGCATCCTTAAAAGTTTCTTTTCAAGCTCTTCACTGCAACTCAGCAACAGTGAAAATGGCGCCTGCCCCTCTATTTATAAGGGTGTTATGCAAATGAGAGGATTGTAATCGTTCCATTCCTATTGGAGTAAAAATTATGAACGTAATTACAGACACTTCCGCTTGTTGTCGTCACGGTTTTCACAACATATCTACACAACTATGCTCGATAGACAGGGCTGTCTATGCTGCTTTAACGAGCAAAAATATGTATTTAGGCTCATGGAATACTTGCTTAATTCTGAAATTATTTGAAATATCAGGATTAGGTAAAAATGTTTAATTGTGTTTACGAAATACATTTGCAGCTTCTAACATCCCTTTTATCTTCTTGGTTATTTATTCTGTACCACTTTATGATATACTTAAGATACAACTGGGATTTCGCGAGGTATTTTAATAGCACCATATTCACTAAAACTAACATCAGCAATAAACAGCTCTCGTTGTGAATGTGTGGGTGGCTCTGAAAAGAGCCTTGGTGTTTAACAGTGTTACGTATGCAACGGGTGTTTAACCGCCGAAGCCGTAGAGGGTGCGTCCCTGGCGCTTGAGCGCGTAGACCACGTCCATGGCCGTGACCGTCTTCCTCTTGGCGTGCTCGGTGTAGGTGACGGCGTCGCGGATGACGTTCTCCAGGAAGACCTTGAGCACGCCGCGCGTCTCCTCGTAGATGAGCCCCGAGATGCGCTTGACGCCGCCGCGCCGCGCCAGGCGGCGGATGGCCGGCTTGGTGATGCCCTGGATGTTGTCGCGCAGCACCTTGCGGTGGCGCTTGGCGCCCCCCTTGCCGAGCCCCTTCCCGCCCTTGCCTCTGCCAGACATACTACCACTCCCGCCGCAGACCACACTGCGCGCCGTGGACTCCGCCGAGTGGCGCTATATGGCGCGGGAGCCGACCTGGTTGAGAACTGCGGCGGGCGAAGGGAGGCGGGGCTCGCCGCAATCTCCGCCCTTTCCACCCGCGCGCCCCAGCGAGCGCTTCCCGCGGGCGGGCGGCCTCTGCCCGGCGCTGCCCCGGGGCTTTGCTTGCAGCCGGCGTTAGCCGGGGCCGCACGCTTCCCTTGCTGGGGTCGAGCTGCCTTTCTTTTTCTCTCCTTCCCTGCTTCCTCCTCGCTCGCTGTGAAGGCGATGTCTCCGGGTCACCTCCTCCCGCTGTCGCGTTGGCCGCTGTCCCACGTTTCACAGTTCGGCACCGCCGTCCCCATCCCGTCCCCTCCTTTGCTGCCCCGGGGTCTGCGGCAAAATTCGGCCAATCCGAGGTCGCGCTCTGCGTTGCCGCCCCGCCCCACCGACCGTTCCGTCTTCCGCTCGTCGTGAGCGTTCCCAGCGACGGCTTCCCAACCACGCTCTTTGTTTGCTCTGTCCGTGGCGGTTTCGCGTTTCCTTTGTCTTCTCCTCGGGTGCTCAGCACTCCGTGGAGGCCTGGAGGACCTGCCCCGAGTGCTATGCGTCTCATATTCACGCAGAACTGCGGGGAGGACCACGGAATGAGGCCCTGAGGGATCCGGAGCCGTCCCTGAGTTGAGAAATGCAGAGAGCCTGGGGCTCGCAGGGCCAACCTTGGCATGCAGCAGGGACCCCCGCAGTTGAGCACCCGTGGGCGGGGCGGATCGCACGTCCCCGGGCTACTGGTAGCCGCCGCACGCGTCGTGTCGGGTCATACCGGGGGGAGGGAGGGGAGGGGGTCACTGAAGATCTCTGCTGCTCGCATGTGACCAGAGACGAGCAAAAGAAGTGGCACACATTTCCAGAAAATGTCCATATGACGCAGTATAAAAGGAACGGTAACCAAATGTTTTTCCTTCAGCTGATCAGAAGGTTTGCTCTTCAGCATTTCTGCTAATGAACTCGGCATACATATTCATCTTACTATGCATTGGACAACATTCACCAGGAAGTGAATTAGTAGAGGAACATTTGGGAGCCTGCTGTGGGAATCAAATGTTGTTTCTGCATTAGAATTTTTATTTCATGATCTCTGCTATCATAGTTCTTTTTGGGAGTCCTTGTACTTAACTTGGGGAAGATCTCTGATAAGTTTACATCACTTACAGTCTAGACGAACCTTCCCAGGAACGCACACTCCGTATATAGGTGTATACATGTATATTTTGTCATACACACTGCAAGAATATCTTGCACGAGATCAAATCAGAGAACAAGTCATGGCATGCCCGAGGAAGCGCCTGAAGAGACATGGGAAGGCCTGGCATTATCCCCCCAGTGCTCTTTGTTTTAACGATGACTTTAAAGAAAATCACCATATCAATAGGACAAGGAGAGCGCCGAGACATCTTGGAAACAACAAGCTGGCTACTGACTGACACCAGATAACAAATAAATTAACAAGTAAATTGCAAATGTAAACCTTCTGATAAGATTGTGAACCTGGAGTACCCAGCCAGTGGGGAAACAGGGGAGGGGGGAGGCAAGGGGGAGAAAACAGGGTATAAAGGCTGTCATTATGTGTCTGTAGGCGCGCTGCTGCTTGCGGGACGCCCGCCATTGCAATCGCGAATAAATTCTGCTTTTATCAGAGATACCGTCCTGACAAAAATTACTTGGATTATTTCCAATGCTATGATTTGAAATGTGGTTGCAGATATTATTTTACACAGTCAAAAACTATGGCTATGACACTTAGCATTTGTACTCTTAGCATATGGCACATGTCAAACATTTCAGTCTTTTAAAATGATCAAGTTCTTTTTAAGTTTGTATAGATGTCAGTGTAATTTAATGTCTGAACTGGATTTACAGCATATGGGCCACATCTCCAGTACATCTGTTGGCAGAATCTATTCTCTAAATTCAGCAGGTAATGTGATAGAGGTTTTCACATTGCAAGTTGAGGGTATCCAAAGTTGCGCAAGTCTTTTTTATGTTTTATTGCTGTTACAGCAATTTGAATTCCATTTTAACTCAGAATGTTTGTAAATAAATCAGGTGAATCTTTGTGACTGAGCAGAACAGACTCCAGTTGTTCACACAGCACCCACAGTGCCTGCGTGGCTACAGTCTGCTCAGTTCTTCGTACCTGAAGCTCCACGTCTAGACTTGTTCCTTAAAGCAGTGGAGTCAGCGGTTAAAGCTACTGTCTGAATACACAAGGAATCCCAAAGGAACATCAGGAAACATTTTCTTTTAAAACCAGTTCTTCACAGTTCTTACACAGTGCAGACTGAGTGTCCCCATGTACCTCTTTCCTCTAGCAGTAGTGGAACAACTTGAAAAAGAAAAAATGATTGCAAAAATCATCTTCCAAAGCACATTTGAGATACCTTCATGTCAGGAGCCCCTGGCAGTGGCCACAGATGGGTGTTTTTACTGCAGCCTGAGAGTGGCGTTATGTAGATCAATGTTCAGGATCTCACCCTTGGATTACATTAACAGCATTTTGCTCGTGAGTTTTGACCCAGTGTTTGGAGTAAAATGAAGGAAATACTCGCACAACTGCCCTGTTAAAAAAAAAAAAAAAATTCTCCAACATTACTGAAGACAGAGGCCCTATTTCCTTGTTAAAATATTAAATGAAAAATGGAATCATTTATTGCATTGTAGAATTATAAAGGTTGGAAAAGATCCTCAGTATCATCAGTTGAACCATCCAGCTACCACCAGTATCTCCCCATGAAACCAGCTGTTGCATTGGGCAACACCTCAGCATGTCTGCACAAGAAATTGCACCAGCAGTTGAGAAATAAAACCAGTGCATCAGTGTATTATGCACAAACTTTGATTACTACTTTCTTGAGCTTACATGACGATTTACATATGATTGTATCTGTTACAATAGGAACCTGCAAGCTGAAAACATGCAAGATTTATTTTTTTTATTTATTTATTTTTCAGAGTGCTTTACTCCATGTGTAGAAAATCAAGGTGAAAAATGATTTTTAAAGCATTGTTTGTTTTTAAACACTGCCATTCTAAGACTTGATACATACAGAGAAAGTACCAAGTTACCCTGAAATGTAACTCTGACTTAAAATGCTCAGAGGAGAATTTTGTTGTCTTTGTACATCCCAAGTTCTTGAGAATTTGAAGATGCACCAGGACCCAGAGCTGCAGCTAACAGGGGGACCACAGGGTAAGAATTTCCTCTTTACTACAGTTTATTTTTTATGCAAACAAGAGAAAATAATTATTTGAACTTTGCTACATCTGAAAGCTGCTGCTCTTTAATCATTGGAGGCTTGGCAGCACTCGGGTCACTCAGCCAACTTACCCCAGAACTGCCTGACCTACAGGATGTGGAGGTCTGACCCCCAGTGTGGTAGCAGTGTGAGACTCACAGCATTACAGCCCCTGGTAGCTAGGAATGAAAACAAAGAATGCTAGGAAGCAGGAAAAAAGCATCCCAGAAGGTGAAGCTCCAGTTGCAGAAGTGAGCAATGCACTGAGTGAAATCCACTGTGCTTGGAATGAGATGAGACTGCGAGTTTTGCAAGGTGTGCTGGGCTTACCCCCACGCTCAGAGCAGCAGAGACCTCCCTGGTGGTGCCAGCTGGTTGCCAGCTGGTTGCCACAGGCAGGACGTGCTGCATTCCCACAGCTGGATGCAGCGACCTGGGCTTTCTGTGACATTCCAGTGCTTTGATGTAGGTATTGCAATCCATCAGAGATGCACAGATATCTGCCCTGGAGACTCAGCATAAGAAAGATGTGCTTGGGAAAACAATCACCTTTGCAATTCTTCAAGAGGAAAAATAAGCGCCTGGAGATATTTAGCAGCAGCTAATTAGGATGAATAATACAACTTCTTAAAAATGTATCAACTTTACGTTTATCCACTTACAAACAGAAGCACAAGGCACAGGTGAGGTCACCAGATGGGGCCAGCCTACTGCACCATCCAGCTCTTCCATTATGCCCAGAAAAACAATCCCCAACCACTCACTTCAACTACAGAAGAGCCCTACCTAGAGAGCTTCTCTGTTACAGCAGGGGTGTGCTATAGGTGCTATTTTCTTCTTTCAAAGCAGCCCTCTTCCTTGGAGGAAGTGCTGTGCACATGGGAGCTGCGGCCTTGTTGCAGTCATGAGCAGCTCCAGGGAACATCCCAGCAGGAGGAGTCAGACAGCCTTTCAAATAACACACATCAGCAAATCAGAGGTGCTTCAGCACAGTGCTTTTGGGTGATACTTGTATCTGCAAATTCCTATCGTACTGCCTACGGCTAACTGACCTAACTGGAGCAACTATGCAGTGAGACCATTTAAAAGACCAGCAGATTTGAAAATCCTGTTTTAATAGAAACCTGCCAGAGCTGCACAGTTTTCCTGAAAGGAAAAATGCTACAGTTAATGCATCTACTGAGCAAATCAGAGTAGTTCAGGATTCAGACCAAATTAAGTTATTCTCCCTACAGCGTTTCCCTATTTCTTTCTAAATGAGTTCAGCTACAGGACAACTTTACAGTATTAAGATCAAGGCCTACACATCAACTTCGGAGCATTCATCAATTTATTTTCTTAATTCAGTTACATATCTCATAGCTAACACTCATTATCTCATCATAAAGCTATGCTACACAGTATAACAAAAACCGTTAATGTTGAGCAGATGAAACATTAATAAACAAATATTCTACTGTTTCATTATAAGTCAAACACTAGAAGTCAACTTAATTAGTTTTTGTTCAGCAAAAACAGGATGTTATAAAAAAAATAACTGAAAACATAAGCCAGTGATTTTACTCAATGCATTAAAAACAAAGGCAGCACAGATGAAACACTTAACATGAAGATACTTCCTTAAAGGAGCAACTCAACTCTTTTCTGAGAAAGTGGGTGGCTCTGAAAAGAGCCTTTGGGTTATATTATGTTTTCAAATACCTAACCGGCTTTACTGGCTGAGATTATTTGCTTTTAGCCTTATGACTCTCAGTCTTCTTGGGCAGCAGCACGGCCTGGATGTTGGGCAGCACCCCACCCTGCGCGATGGTGACCTTGCCCAGCAGCTTGTTGAGCTCCTCGTCGTTGCGGATGGCCAGCTGCAGGTGGCGGGGGATGATGCGCGTCTTCTTGTTGTCGCGGGCCGCGTTGCCCGCCAGCTCCAGGATCTCGGCCGTCAGGTACTCCAGCACGGCCGCCATGTAGACGGGAGCTCCGGCCCCCACCCGCTCCGCGTAGTTACCTTTCCGCAGCAGCCGGTGCACGCGGCCCACGGGGAACTGCAGCCCGGCTCGTGATGAACGCGACTTGGCCTTGGCTCTAACCTTCCCGCCCTGCTTCCCGCGGCCCGACATGGTGCTGCTGCCAACGAGAGCTTACAGAACAAACCAAGCCAGAAACAATACAGAGAAAGTCATACTGACGCAGGCGCTCGTCCCCTTTTATCCCTTCCCCGGGCGGGAGTAGCGGCCGCTGATTGGCTGGAATCTACAGTTGTGAAAACAACCAATGAAACAGCGGATCTTATTGCAACCAATCAGAAACAAAGAAACACCCCTTACAGAAAAGACCAATCGCATTGCACGAATTGGAGCCTCGGTATTTGCATAACAGCCCTATAAATAGTGGCGCCGCAGCCATTTTAGATGCAGTTCGCTTTTGCAGCGGTTGGGTAGTTGTGCGTTTGAAATGCCTGAGCCGGCTAAGTCTGCTCCCGCCCCCAAGAAGGGCTCCAAGAAGGCGGTCACCAAGACCCAGAAGAAGGGCGACAAGAAGCGCAAGAAGAGCCGCAAGGAGAGCTACTCGATCTACGTGTACAAGGTGCTGAAGCAGGTGCACCCCGACACGGGCATCTCGTCCAAGGCCATGGGCATCATGAACTCGTTCGTCAACGACATCTTCGAGCGCATCGCCGGCGAGGCGTCGCGCCTGGCGCACTACAACAAGCGCTCGACCATCACGTCGCGGGAGATCCAGACGGCCGTGCGGCTGCTGCTGCCCGGCGAGCTGGCCAAGCACGCGGTCTCCGAGGGCACCAAGGCGGTCACCAAGTACACCAGCTCCAAGTAGAGCGGTCCTGATCCTCACTCTGAACCCAAAGGCTCTTTTCAGAGCCACCCACTCATTCAGTGAAAGAGCTTTAATACAACGTGTTTTTGTGTCTTGTTTGTTTGGAAGGTTAAATAGGATGTGATTATTTTACCTGGAGAATTCCTACTTGATTCTGGGTTATTCAGGGTGAACAATAAAGATCTTTCTCCAGATTCACTGGTCAATGCTTCGTGGTGTTAAACAATTTCAGGTATGATTAATTTGTTTTATAAGCATTGTGTGTCTTATCCAATAAACACAAGTAGTGTGTTTTAACTTTGATTTTAATAGTTGCAGTGCACTAATACATCACTCAAAGAATATCACCTATCTTTCAATAGCTCCACTAACATTCATTAGAGGAGAAAATAAACAAATAATTTTTTTTGCGTAATCGGTCTTACCGTGTCTCTGAGCTGAAATTTTGGCTTTGAGAGGAGAACGATTACCCCTGCAGATCTGAGAACAACGATACGAGCGAGGGCGCGCTGTAACAGACGCTTTCGGAGCGGAGCTGTCCGGCGGCAGCGCTCCCAGCCGATTTCGCAGCGCGGGCTTTTTGAATCTTTCCAGTCGTCCAATAAGCGGCCGCGGTTTCTCCCATCACCCAATCAGAACGGGCTTCAGGCAGAGCCGGGCCTCCCAGGCAGCCCCGCGCCGCTCTGCGTCCGTCCGGCAGCGGCCCCGGTGAGCTGCGTGAGCGCCGCGCCCGGCGGTGGGAGAGAGGGGGAGGTGGCGGGCGCGCTGCCTATTCCGGCCCTCTCCCTGCGGCTCTAACAGCAGTTTGGTGAAGCTGTGCAGGAATTTAAAAAGTCCCCCGCTGAGAGGAAAGGTCATTGCCAAGGACGCGGAGGAGCCGTGCCGGAGAGTTGGCAGCGCCTGTCCCTAAGAGGCGTGGCGGTAGCGCGCAGACTGTTAGGGACCGCATTGTCTGAGTTAAAGCACCGAGAGAGACCTGCATGCCCCAGAGCGATACCCACCCCAGCAATCCCTTTAACACACGCACCTCTGTCCTGCGTTGCTCAAAGGCAGCCCGAAGAGAGGTTGCTTTTTTTCCTTTCTCCCCCCTCTCTCCAGGGAGCGCAAACTTTATTTTTTCCAGCCCTATGCTAACCACGTTCCGCAGCTCAGAGTCCTGCTATTTCTGCAGGCGAGCATCCCATCTGATCGCGAGTAAAAAATGGCGAATCGAGAGCTTCGCTGCAGGCATGGAGCTCACTGTCCGAGTGTCTCAGCTCTTTTTCGGACAGTGGTGGGTGGCTCTTAAAAGAGCCGTTGGGTTTAAGTATTTCCACATCAATACTTCACTTCTTGGCCGCCGCCTTCTTTCCCTTGGCTGCCTTCGGTTTGGCCGCCTTGGATTTGGCAGCTTTGGGCTTCACCGCCTTTGCCTTGGCCGGGCTCTTGGCAGTCGCCGCCTTTTTGGGCTTGGCAGCCTTGGTCACCTTCTTCGGGCTCTTGGCCGCCTTCTTGGTGGCAGCAGCCGCCGGCTTCTTGGCTTTCTTGGGGCTCTTCTTCGCCGCCGCCTTCTTGGGCTTTTTGGCTGCGCTGGCAGGCTTCTTCGCCGCCGGTTTCTTGGGCTTGGCCGCGGGCGTTCTCTTCCTAGGAGCCTTCTCCTTCGCCTCTCCCGGCTTCTTGCTGAGGCGGAACGAGCCGGAGGCGCCGGTGCCCTTGGTCTGCACCAGGGTGCCCTTGCTGACGAGGCTCTTGAGCCCCAGCTTGATGCGGCTGTTGTTCTTCTCCACGTCGTAGCCGCCGGCGGCCAGCGCCTTCTTGAGCGCGGCGAGGGAGAGCCCCTTGCGCTCCTTGGAGGCGGACACGGCCTTGGTGATCAGCTCGGTGACGCTGGGGCCCGCGGGCTTGCGGGCTTTGGCGCCGCCCGCCGCCTTCTTCGGCTTCTTGGCGGCCGCCTTGGCGGCGGGGGCCGCGACAGCGGGAGCGGCGGCGGGAGCGGTCTCCGACATCGCGGCAGAGACTTCTTCCTAATCAAAAGAAAGTAATTGGGCTACAGTAACCCCGATGCCTGAATTTATAGCGAAGCGGTGATCTGTGATTGGTGCTTTACAGAGCCCGCCTAACTGTTAGCCAGGAAGAGCTTTCCGTCCTCCGAGTCTGTGTTTCTTCGGAGTTATAAATTCGTATTTTTTGAAAAATCCCGGCCGCGAAATCACCCCGCTTTCTTCGGGGGGTGAAGGGAAGACCTTGAAGCTTCGTTCTGGGGAGTTTGTCGCCGCGGGCATCCTGGACGAGAGCAAAAAGACGGGTTTAACGTGCCGTCCTGCATCCGGGAAGACCCTGGGGAAGGCGAACTTTTGTTTTTCCGTCTAAATTAAAATAAAAGCTTTCGTCAAAAAATCTCCCCCGTAGCGCAGATTTGTTCTTTAGGGGCTTTTCTGCGGAACAGGATGGATACCGAGGGGGCAGCTTCAATACTTTTGTCGCAAATTGAGTTCAAAGAGAAGGAAGTAACACAATTTCGTGTCTGAGCTTTGAATATGGATAGAGAATCGCCTCCCTGAACCGTATCTTTAACTATTAAGAATACGGTATTCTCACAAAATTCTGTGTTTTGAGAACATAAGATACATCCAGAGGAACTGATGTGCTAGAACTTGTCTCTGTTCCTCGTGTTTTGTTATGTTCTGAGAGGGAATGGTAGCATTTTGATTTATTTTTTTGTTTTGTTTTGTTTTTGGAAATCACTTCTGTATATAAAAAACGAAGCTGTTTTTGCCTCGTTAATAAAGGCGAAATAAGCTGCAAGCTCGATGTTTTGTCTTTTACAGTGCACTATATTGCTGCTCTTAAAACTTGCAAAAATCAGAAGCAAGAAGTAAGGAGAAAAACGTCCAACACATTTATATACACAAAGACGTGTCACATTATCCTCAAACATCAGTGGAACAAACTGAAGCCTCTCTTCTCCCCAAATAAATGTAATAATATGGAAATCGACCTCTGAGAACAGAACGACTCATACAACATTTATTTACATATATTTGGATATAGGCTTGTTTTCCCACCATAAGCTTTATAAAATCTGTGATTCTCAAGAGAAAAAAAGAAGACATCCTGACAAATCCTCATAATATAAATGCTCATATAGCGACATAATTTTCAGATAATCCTCACAAGTAAAAATCAGTTTTGATTTTCACTTAATTATTGTCTCACCCAGTGACAAATGAAAATAATTCTGTTTGCTCATTAGTTTAAATATTGATTAGGATTGATTGCAATATTTTGGAGATGATCAGAATTCAGAAGCCTCAGCTGGTTTCTAATTAGAAAGCAGACTGAAATTTATTCCTTCACTGAAAAATAGCAAATTAATCCCCAAATGATTGTTTTTGTCCCACTTTAGAAATAGCTACCATGTAAAACGTCAGTGGGCTGTTATACGAAAGAACGTCTCTTTTAGCACTGATGAATCTGAGATTCATGAAGATAAATAATACTCTGCAGAAGGCCTTGCGTAGTTCCAGTGGACCAGTGCTGAAAATACCACTGAGTTATTTGTACCATTAAGTGGTTTTAGTTTAAAAGAAATATACCAAAATAGCAAGGAGTACTGAGGTACAACAGAATAGCCAGAGTGTAAACAATGAACTGTCACTGCTTTGTCTTCTCATGTAATTCCATTTTTATTTTGCCATGTCTGTATGTATGCCAGCTGATACACTGAAGGAGAGGAAAGTAAAGGCAGAGAGGAAGGGGAGATTTTGGCTGTTCAGTACCCCACTGCTGAAGCCAGGCTGGAAGGCACCCTGAGTTGGGCTCTGAGATCTGCAATACACCAATACCTGGTGTCATTCCCAGGTAAGCAGCCAGGGTAAATCCACAGTAACCATAAAGCTCTGGGCAACTGCATGAGAGATGGGAATAAAATTCTGAGAGACAAAAAGTTGCTAGAAAAGGAGATGATGCTTATTTCCCAAAAAAGTTAGATGGAGATTTCTCTAAAACAGAATCAGTCTGCAAGTGACATAGGGGTCCACATGGAGGAAAAACAGATTAGACATCAGACGGATAGGGGCAGATTAAACACACAGAATACAGGAAAATAACACAAATAAGCTAACGACTACACTCATTTATTTGTATTTACTCTTCTTAGCATGTTGAAGACCCAGAGAAATTGTTGATTTTTAATATAAGTATCCTATTCTTTTGACGAAGGATGTTTTTGCACGCATTCAGGTATCAACTCTTAACACTAAGTATTAAAAATATATACAAATAACAAGATCAAGAAATATCAGTCAAGTTTTTGCTGTGAGGCAAGTTTGTTGCCAACACTGATTCAACAATTGCAAAGTTTATGTAGTAAGGAAGAATTAAGATGACAAAATGCCATTGGTAAAGAAGTCACATGTATTGTTTGACATATACACCTCAATGAAGCTGAGAAAAATATGTCACCAGATGTTCCAGTGTTAGGGCATCCCATGTCCTAATATTTTGTATCTATTTTGCCTTCTACTCTATTACCTGCAGCAACACAACAGTTTAGAAGGCTGAGAAAAGCATTTTTCTATTTGTATAAGCTAAGAAACCTAGTTCTAAAAACATGCCAAATAATTTGGCCCATACTGGAACAGCCTGTTGATGTCATTGAGATAGACGGAAGTACTTTGTTTTCTATCTCTAGGAAAATGAATGTAATAAAGTTCTCTTGCAGCTGCATTGTCAGACGGTCTCTGCTGCTGCTTTCTTTTTTCAACACACGTACATTGCCACAATGTTGTTTCATCCTTGCGTTCAGGAACGATTTTGGCCTCTGCTACATTCAAAGCAGGATAAAAGAAAACAAATGAAGAAAAAAAAAGTTTATCATTCTTGTCAGTCAAACACAGGTACATCATATTACTGAGTTCTTAAGGGTTGAGATACAAAAGGGATGTTCCCACAGTGCTCTTCCCATCATAGAAGGGTCTAGTAGTCTCCATGCTAGTTTTCCTATTTACTTAGGTTCAGCAAAGGAGGATTGCTGCGAGTGATGTGAAGACTTGAAAGTAACGACAGGGTTTGTCAGACTGCAGTGATTTCATGATCACAGAACAGTGGAATTTGGAAAGCATCTCTGCAGATCATTGAGTGCAGTGCCCAGGATCGAGGCATGGCCAGCTAGAGCAGGAGACAGGGAGACATTACAACCTCAGTGGGCAAACCGTTCTTCTGTTTCACCACCTCCACAATAAAACTTAGACATATTGCTTAAGTTTTATTAGAATTTCCTGTGTTTTGTTTGTGCCAATTTCTTCCTGTCCTGTCGCTGGGCAGCCCTCATCAGTGCTGAGTGGAGGGAAAAAATCACCTTCATCAGTACTGGTTTGGAATTCGTACTTATCCATGTTAATTTATGAATCCCATATACGGATTAATGATGAATTGCACTCCTGCCATCTTTATTTATTTATTTATTTTTAAATTTATTTGTTTATTTTTACTTCTGGTCATTAATTAAAATTGGCTTCAGAAAAACCATTGTTACCTCTCACACAGTTTTATTTTCAAGGCTTGTGAAGACCAGTTTGAATTGCCCTGTCTTGTCTTTGTGGTCATGGTGTCCATGAGTGTAGGACTTTAAAGGCTAGTTGGAGTCATGGCAAATCTTTTATTTCAAATAGGAATACAACCCTAAGCCCCTAAAACCAGAGTACATCAATAGATTGGAGTACATTTCTTGTATAAGAAAAGCAATAATGTAGAAAAATGAAACAATGCAAAACAAAAAAATGGAGTGATTGAAGTGCCGAATCAGGATCTAGTGGATTCTAGCATGTAAGTAGCTAAAAGAAACACAGCAATGCCATTCTCCTATCTGCCATGTTTTCTAGGTAGCAAAAGTCATACTGTCCTTTTCATGACTGGAGATCCACCTGGAAAATGTGGAGCAGAAATCCCCACATAATTATGTTTTGTTTCTCTATATCCATCAATGAATATTATTACCATTATTATGTATAGGAATCTGACTCATGAGCAGAATTTTGTTCTACTGGGGATATAATTGTAGTCTTGTTTGCAGCAACAGAAGAGGAGGAAGCACATAAATGACACACATGTGTCTACTATATACTATATACTATATACTATATACTATATACTATATACTATATACTATATACTATATACTATATACTATATACTATATACTATATACCATATACTATATACTATATACTATATACTATATACTATATACCATATACCATATACCATATACCATATACTATATACTATATACTATATACTATATACTATATACCATATACTATATACTATATACTATATACTATATACTATATACTATATACTATATACTCTATAACCATTACTATAACTCTCACTAAGTGCCTGGAAAAAGAGAAAAAATTGTTGATCACAACACAGATTCCAGAGAGACAGATTACAAGTACTGAACCATTCAGTGCTGTAAATTGACACTAGATCATCAACATACAACATCCACATCCTATCCCTTCAGTAGCAGTCAGGATGTGTTGCTCTTAGGTGCTATTTCATAAAATATCATGCTAAATGAAAGGAATGCTGAAGGCTAACCTTTGGTAATACTCAGTAGATCCAGATCTACACCCTACCTGAAAATCATTGTTACTCTTAAGGTGTCTAAATAATATGAGCAAGAACCAAGCTACAGGGCCACAGGCTAAGCATACCCCAGGAAAGGAGCACCTTGTAACCATGTCAGCCAAATTCAAGGAAGTTGTAAAACTACTTGCTCTAAAATCAACTTTAGAAAGACTCTCAGTTGAGAATGGAATATTTCCCTATAGCTAACTGGTACATTGCAGATTTTATCTCCATTTCAATTTTATTTAATGTTGGGAGTTTTCCTAAGTGTAGGAAAATATTGTAACAGGGAAACTTTGGCTACCACAAAACAAACACATGCACAGTGATAATAAAATTTTATTTGAAATTTTCTAATTGCCATTTATTAAATTAGAAT